CAAGATATTAAATCTGTCTAGTTGCTATGCTTTAGTACGCGAATGTAATATGGTCTCCATGTCGCCAACACATGTGCAGCACATGCCGAATAAATTCTGTAGCGCAAAGTCGAGTGATTTCACATTCAAAATACGTTATGCGGTTAAAGGATGTGGAAATTATCATCATAAGACAAAAAATGAGTCGGATTAAAAGGAGTCGGAAAATTTTTCGGATTAAAAGGCATGCTTAAAAGCATACGTTCGAATTTCGCGCTTAATAATGACGTATATATGCTTGCTACATATTTTGATTGGACAGTGGGCGTGGCCATGCGCAAGAGCATAATACCCTTATACTTCAACCATAGTTATTATGATCCTGCCTCACCGGCCGGGCACTAGCTAGCCCCCGGCTAGTTTTCCCATCTTGGCTGTTGGCACTCCAGCATAATTCTGTCTAGCGCCTAGATGAAGTACTAGGTAGCGCCCGGCTAGATACTGGCGTGTCACGACCTTCCTCACGGGGCCCAATATAGAACATTGGAATGCCCAGATACATTTCCACTCGGGTATAGTGCCCTGTATGATTTACAGATAATATTATCCTTAAGCTCGAGCGTTTGATGTCTTCGAGCGCAGTTCAGATGCAATGACAATAGGTAAAATCGATCAAAATGTGCAATCCGGCTGCAGGCCTGACCTACGTGATTATAAATCGTTTCACGAATCGTATGATTCAGTTGTTCCGATTCAATCTTTTGGATTTAGTAATGAGAAAGAGAGTAACAAAAAAAAAACTCACAAACGTGTGCGCATGTTCGAAGAAAGGACAACAGACTACTAAAAAAAATTAGTTCAATAAGCATTTTCCTGTCGTTGTAATATTCTTATTAAATTTTCTTATGAGAGTTCTTCAAAAAGTTCTACTTGCGCATGACAAATCGCTCGAATTGAATAAAAATCGTAAGAGTTACTGTACAAGTATGATTTTCATATAAAGAGAAAATTTTATCGAATATTGTCAGATTGCGTTTATTTTTGCAGTTTAATGTTCTTTTTCTTACAAGTAATCTAAATTTTTTGGAGTGAAATTTCACACTAAATGAGTGAAAATACGGACATTTTTGGAGAATAGAGTGAAAATATTTCACTTCTTGAAAAAGGGTGACAATTGTCACTCATTTAGAATGAGATTTTACTCCAAGAAATTTAGAAAGAATCCTGAATTTCTTGTTATACGTCATCATGGCACATAGTGCCGGATTTGGCGAAATGCAGCCTCTTTAGTATAAGTATCGCAGAAATACTCCCGATCTTTTAGACAACGCACATACATTATATCCTAATGGGACCGTTAGCGCGCAACTCGCATTTTGTAAAAGGCTTCCGCACATCTAGAACGCAAGTGTCTCCTTTTCAAGTGATCGCTGCCTTTTTTATGAGAGTCTCGTAATTTTCCGAGAGAGATTCCTTTCCCTCATCACGCTCGCATCGATTCACGTAATATGCTGCGCGAACCATCGTACCAGATTTGCAGCGTCCGAAACTACATGGAAAAAATTACTACTTATTATCGCTTCACATTATTTCCCACGCGAAGCGAGATAAGTTCAGAGCTCTTTACGCTCACAGAACAATAATCGTATGTTGCAATCAATCTGTAATATACTGTAAAAGACATTTTGTATTTATGTTAAAATCCCGTCCTTAAAATCTTTGTGTTAAATTTTTAGCACAATATGTCCCAGTGTTAATTTAACGTAACGTAATTATGTTATTTGAATATTTTTTGTTAAATGGAATATTTAACATTAATGTTACAATAACACAACTTATGAGTAAGTGATTGAATAACATAAAAATACTGGAATTTCAGAAAATATGTAAATTCTAGAATAAAAAATGAATTTACGTATTAAATTAACATAATGTAGATGTTAACTTTACTGAAGAGAAATGCTCCTACAATTTGTTTTTAAATTGGGTCAAAGAATTACATTTTTTGTGTTAATTTTTTACATAAATGTTTATGTCATACTTTTTAACATATTCATTTCGTATTAAATTTGAACAAACCGCGTTTGAAACACATAAAATGCAATAAATTTAACACAAGATTTTCAACTATATGTATATGCTGTAAATAGTCAAACAATGTAAAAAGCAACAAGCATTGTGAAAATTAAATTCTTAGTAAATATTGTAGGTAAACCTTCTAATTAAATTTTTTTTACGACCGATTGTTGCCAACCGAAAGTTGTTACTTTAAATTACAATCTATTAAAAGACCAATGATACAAACAGCAAGAACAATTTCGATTCAACAATATGTTGTCAAATTTATAAAAATCTTTTCCTTGTAGCAATGGTTAAAAATAGATTTTTCAGAAAAAATAAGTCCGCTCGCGGATAATTCGCGATGAACAAATTAGTCATAGACGATTCGTGTTACAATCGCATGAAATGCCGAAGTAACTACATGTGCTGTCCGATTACATAAACCTCTTAATTGATAATGTTGTAAATCATTTAGAGACTTTACCATTCTACTTAATGCTAAATTATATGAAAAATAAGACGTCTCGTCCTTCACTAGTCCTGAAGATTTATGTGCAAAAAGTCTTTCATTTCCCATTTCGCATAAAAATTATTAATGTTATGATTTTTCTGCCTGATTTTACTTAGCTGGAATGTCATCTGTACATAAATAATTTTTATGCGCGATTAAAAACAAAAAATTTTTAGCAAGTAAAATTTCAGAAAGACTAATAAGCAATGTGAAATAAGATATATAATATTTTGTTTTTGTCATGTAATTTCAAGTAGACTTTTATAGATAGTAATCCTTTTACTACAAAAGTAAAAGATTTAAGGTATTCTAAATCTCTCTCTTTTATTAGACAAGTCAAGGCAAATTCTCGGAATCGAAGAAATAAAGTATGGAAAATGTGATTGACAACGCAGATAACAATGAAAGCATTAAAACGCGTTACGGCGTCAAACGTGTTTCGTTTCTTCTTTTCTAAATTAAAGTAATTTATTATCTTTATCGTAATAGTGATCGCTTCGCTCACTGACGCAGAAACTCGACTCGTCTACAACTCGACATGTCGACAAATCAGACTTATTGTTGATTTATTCGGTGGTCCTTTCGATTTCCGGCTTGTTTATCAACTTGTGGACCTAGACTTCAGATCGTACAATTTCAAAATCACATTCGATTTCGTTTATTACAAGTTTCTCACAATAAAATCATGATGACGCAGAAGTATTATAGATGATGATATTCTTAAACATAAACAGTAAAATATTAAAGCGATTTTACTAATCCATCCAAGATCAATAATTTAAAAAACGAGCAACATTGTTAGATGGATAAAATTACAAATTAAATTTATTAATTTACATTTAAGTGAGCATCGGTGCCTCTACTGTAATCAAGATGTTTTGGACATTACTTAGCCCTCTTCTTACTTAGCCGTGATGGAATGAAATTATTAGCGCATGGACAAATATAATATAATGACAGATGTCACAGAACTTTTCTTATATAAATATTGTGTGTGGTAGACGTCGTTTGTTTTTAGTTGACTCATAATTAGTATGATCCGTTTGGTTACAAAGTCGATTAATTTCGCAAAGAATTCCTCGCAAAGAAAGGTTGCCGATAAGAAACCATTGTAGTCAAAATTTAAAAAATCGTTAGTCAATCGTTTGTCGGATACATCCAACATCATAATATCCAGTTATTTTGAATATTGTGAATATGAAATGCTAATGAATATGATCCATAATTTTTGAAATCTTTAATATAATTTATGATGATATCTCTAAGGCTAACATAAGGCTATATCATCTGTATATATCTGTAGCAAAATTGTGCTTTTCGAGCAGAGTAAATATATAGTGATAGTATAGTGATAGTAGTTATATGGATAGTAATATATAGTGATAGTATAGTGATAGTAGTACTATATGAATATATGAAAGCTATATAAATTTTATATGCGTGTAAAATATACACGCACAATTAAATAAACTATTTTACAGAGAAGTTGTAATAACTATAATATAATTTACTCAACATTATGGACATTAATTCTACATATGAAACTTATATTATCATCTATACATATACATAGTTGTCACTATACGTTCTTTTGCTGAGTGAAGTGTCTTTCTACTTGAATGTAAGAAAAAATTATAGGAAAATTTATCTTATAGTCCTAAAATAGTTAGAAAACATCCTTTATTGACAGAATATTTTTTTAATGACATCAGATGCTTGTGTAAAAATAAAAGTTTATTGAAGTTTAGCTTAATTCAATGATGCAACCATCTAGATTTAAGAGGGATTCATCGATGAGTGTACCAGTACACATTAGTGCTAATACAGCAGCGCTGGCTTGGATTCCAAGCCATTGGACGACTCTCATGTTGCATCGAGAGAATGGAGTTGAATTACGCACGGTAGCAGTTTGAACCGAACGACCGAAGCGTGCGTTTCTGATAATCGCAGGTGCGGCTCTCCGGATAAGATCATCCAATACTCGATCTATTGAAACGTGATGCTATCGAGATTGCATGTCTGAGATGCCGGAGATTAATCTAAAAAATATTCGGTAGAATATTTTAGATTAATCAATCTAATACGAGAATCAATCTTATCGTTCGAGCGTATACCTTCTAAGATACGTCAACGACAGTTCGTTACAAAACATTGAGCATTCAGTTGCAACATAGCTGCCCGAAACCGCGATTTTTAACAGCTGAGTAGTTGCTTTTACAATTAGCTGATTAATTTGCCTGACAAAAAAAAGAGGAAAGATGCTTCGCGCGCTCGTTCGCGTGTGTTACCTTATTTCACGATCGTGCATCGTTACGCGTAACACGGAAAGTATCCCGATCTAGGACAAAACCCCACCCGCGATCCAGCGATCCATCGATCCCGATGGCCTCCGGTCTCTCTCCCTCTTTTTTCGCCTTACCTTCGCTTGTTTGTTCGGTGCCTTCCCTTTCGGTCTTTGGTCCTCACTGCCATCCGGTCGAGATCGACAGGGTTTACTAAGAGAGCACGCGTTCTCCAGAAACTTCAGTGTAAACCGCGCACTCAAACTCGAAGGATCATCGGATTCTTCCATTTTGACAGGGACGAGACAGAGAATTGAAGGTGCGAAAGACAAGAAAAAAAAGAAGACTTAATTAGTGCCCATTTCACACTACGCATTGAGGATTGCGAATTAAAGATTAGAATTCGACCAATAATCAGATAATTTTAATTTTAATCCGTTTTGTTCTAATTGGCTGAATTCTAATTCTCAAAATTCGCAGTCCTCAGTCTCTAATGCGTAGTATGACACAGGCGTAACTCATGCGAAATCCCGATGCGCCGTTCAACAGTTTGAGTGTGATCTCCTGCGTCTTCAGTATATCAATCCGGCAGTAATCGATCGCGATTTTCAGTGTTGCTGATCAGAAATCCTTGTGAAAAACACAATGCGGAGTAGTGGTGTTCTCCTAATATCGTTCGCGCTCATAGCGCTCGGAACGGCAAGTAAGTGTGATTCTTGAAAACAATCTCACGTATTTTTTATAAATTTTTGGAACTGACAATTGAAGCATGTGATTTAATATATCCTGAAGTATTTTAAAGAGAAAACATTTTCTGTTCTTTTTACACTGTTAAATTATATCCAATTGAATCATTTCTATTGATCGCCAATCCTTAATAATGCTCCTACTCAACATGTCGTTTAAATTTATTTATGGAGTTAAACTAAAAGAGTGTATTAAATTGGACTCAAATTTAGTTAATTATTATTTACTAAGTGCAATTACAGAAATGAATTGCTTTACATTTTGACATCTGTAGAAGTTATTATAAAAATAACAAAATGTTATTTAACGCAAGGGTTTGGGTTTATCATTGTTCCTTTGATATTTAACAGTACACATTATGAGAAATATAAATATCAAACTTAAAACTTAATAATACATTTTTAAATTTTAACAATTTATTTATGTACAATTTAATTATAAATTTTTAATATAATACATTAAATCATTTATTTTAAAATAAATTTTAAAAATATTTTTGTTAATCAATTTAATATATAAAATTGACGATACATTGAATAATTCTGCACTTATTGGTTTATTTAAAATTATATTAAATTATAAAAAATAAAATGTTTATTGTTCCCCGTCGATTAAGACTCTTTTCAATTTTGATTTTACTAGTGAAAAGCTTTCATTTTTAATCGTATATAAAAATTATTTATATTTAGATATTTCTATGTTAACCAGAATTTAACTGAAAAAATATGGATACAAATATAACTTCTATGCACGATGGAAATTAAAAATTTTTTAAATAAACGTTTACGGAACGAATAAAAAATAAAAAAATGTTTTATTTTTCATGTAATTTCGAATATTAGGTAGAAACATAAATAATTAATTTAATAAAAGAATATATAATGTATTATTCGAAACATCTAACTTTGATTCGGCCTTTTTTTTATCGTATTTGATGGATTTATACATACGGTCGTTGCCTAAAAATAATGTTTATAATTAATTAACATTCAGACCAGTAATTTCTATATCTCAATAAGTACAAGATAGTATATTATATAGTCCAAATCACAGGCATTTATATGTATACGAGAGGTCTAAACACGTAATAGATACAACGTGTATCAGATAATTTTAGTTGTGATGCTGATAGACGTTGTCATATACTGTATGTATAGGTTTTTTTAACGTTATTCTTCAACCGATTCAAATCGTATTTGATAAATGCAATATTAACGCAAGTAAAATTTTATACCATACTTACGTTTAAGAAACGTACCTATAATATATCAATATGTGTTCATTGGCATGTGAATTAAAATTTTTTATACGCAAATAACTTTTTAAAGGAATTAATAAATATCGGAACGTTCTACCTTAACTTTGATGATTTTAAAGAATACACGTTGACATAAATATTTCCAACCCAATAGATTTTTGATTAAGTTACGTATTTCCGTAAATAAGGTGAAAATTGAATAGTACATTCACAGAATTAAATAGCACGCATCGACGAAATGTGAATAAATACAATGCGAAAAATGATCTACCGATTACGTTACACGCGTATCGGATACGCTGCGTCCTTTAAAGCCTATTCTACAACTACGTTAGCGTAGTTGTAAGTGGTTGTGGTTGTAAGAATTGACCAATCATAGTCGAATATGAAAAGAATATTCGACTGTAATTAGTAAATTTTTACCACTTACAACTACGCTTATGTAATTATAGAATGAGCTTAAGGTTGAATTATGCAACTGATGATCATTCCTGCGATAAGGACGATACCATTTATATCATCAATCGTGTGCATTGGCACATGCTCGAAATTCCGATTGTACCTTCGAGCCCGATGTAAGTCGAATCGATCTTATGAATAAAATGCGTGCTTTGATTTAATAAAATTAATTTTCTACAGCAAAAAGATAAAACATAAAATGTATGGTACGCTTTTGCTTTTAAATAAATTCTTTTGCATCTGCCTTTAATGAGAAATAATCGTCTCGCTTTTACCTGTCTAATTAAACGTTTAGTAAGCGCAAGTCGCACGTGGCATAAATGACATTTGTAATATTTATATGCGAGAAAATAATGTTTACATTTATGTGAAGAATTTTCGCAAGCATCGTACATCTGTACGCAACGTTTACGCTCAATCATAGGCGCGATAATTGCACACGGTTATTATCTTAATATATCCGGGACTGTTGATTATCAATAAAGCATATGCAATTCTCTTTTTAATCTTCTGCGGATCATCCTTTGAACGCTTCTTTCTTTTTTTAAAGAACTCACGTGACTATGCAAAAGACTAAGTATAGTCACAATCACTATAACGCACTGTGATCAATCGATGATGTCAACCGATTGAAACTTCCGCTTCTCTTGCTCGTTCCAACTAAATATTATTACATCAAATGCGAAATTGTAATGCAAAATCCAAATATTTTAATCTGTTGCAGAATGTCCAAAGAAAAAAACTTCGCCTGTCAGAGAGATTCTTTGCTATACTTCCATCTTCGACGCTAAGCTTCTAACCGGCTCTATGTGCGATTGTACCACTCTGGTGCATCAAAATCATGACGTGAGAAATCTTTCAACTTCCGGTAAGCGCAATATTCTAATAACAAGAGGTGCACTTCGAACCGTTCGAACCATTTCAAAATTTGAAATTTCGCTATTAGAAATTTGGACTAGTTAATACAACAAGATATTTGTAATAGGGGGAAGCAACAAGATTAGTTCAACACAAAGAAATATCATGAATATCAATAAGATTACGTCATATACATACGAATATAATTGATTAGATTTGAGCAAAATTTTTGACGAACTATAGGATTCAAACTTATCCCAAAGCGTATTATCAATTATACTGATTTATAAGGTTTTTGTTTCTTATTATCTAAATGGTAATCCTATTATGTATTTTTAGCTGTTGAAAAAGAATATAAAATTAAAAAGGTCTCGTCATCCACAGATTTTAAGAAATCATTGACTTTATTTTTTAAAAACTCTGGAAATTTAAACAAAATTTACACTTTTTTCTTTTATTTTACAGAATAAAATACACAAGAATTATTATTCAAATTTGAAAAACAGAAATCTTGTAAATCAGCGTTATTTGACATTAAATATCAGCAATAAATTTTTATATTTTAATATTTTATTCAAAATTGTTCATAAACAATAAAAGAGAGGCTTCATACCATTACATTTATTTTCATATACAATATCAAAAATATTTAAATTTCTCACAGCTATATATTATATAGGTATATTATGTTATGAATTTGTGTTATTGCATAAGAAATTAAAAACGGAGTTCTTAAAAATTAAAAGGTGAGGGAATTTTTTTGAAAGCAATATTTTTATTCAACGTAAAGTCTTACAAGAAACATCGACTACTTGTTAAGAAATAAAATATTGATCAAAATTTGTTGTTCAGTATCATAAATAAAACGTTCCAGATATTTCTGATTTGCGGAAATCTTTAAAAGAGATGAATCCACCTCTTCAGTTTGTAATTTCTATACACGATCCTGCGATGATACTCAGAAATTCCGCCATAATACGACAGGAAGCTATTGCTCGAATTATTACTATTATGAAAGAGGTATGGTATTTTCTATTTTCCATCTATCTATTTTACATCTTATTTTCCGAAAAGATGACTTAAAAATTGAATAATCATGTTGTGTGCGTGCGTGCGTGCGTGCGTATGTGTGTGTGTGTGTGTGTGTGTGTGTGAGAGATTGGATATATATTTTAATATACAAGTAGTCGTGAATGATTGAGTAGGTTAGTGTTAAGAAAATATTAATTAAGATAAACTCATAAAACAAAATTATTTAAATACAAATGTTAAATTGCAAAAATATACATTGAAGAGTTGATAGAAAGGAGTCTTTCCTCTGTTCAAGGTGGATGGCGTAGAACTGAATATAACGGCGGGCTCAAAGGAGCGTCTTTATAATTTTGTCAAAAGTCTCAAAGACGAAATGATTAAAAAATCTTACGACAAAAGGATTTTCATGGCTTTACCTATTAGATCGGAGGATTTAGCCAAGCAGTTTGACATTAAGGAACTCATGAAGTACGAATTATTTTCATTGACTCGTTGACACGAAACGTATTAGTGCTGGTTCGTCGACGGTCAACAAATTATTTTCATCATTGTTTTATCTTTCAAATTGTTTCTTTGTTTTGTGAAAATATTAAATTATATGATTTCAACTGATATAGATAGGACGAGTTCGTTTAAATAATGCATTATTGTAACGCAAGTACAACTCGCATGGCTCGTTGCCTTCTTACCTCTAATTAAAATTTTTAATTAACCCTCCGTGAACCAGGTGGGATGTGACACACCCCAACAAGATGAATTTCTATAACTTTCTAAAAAGTACCGAGCGCATGTTGCCAGTTTCGTGCAACTGGAGAGTGGATTGTTACCTCAATCATACTAAATTATAGTATATTTATGATGAAGTATAGCATAGGGTATGAGATGTACCCACATACATATGGTCCAGGTTGATTTTCTACCTGGTTCGCGGAGAATTAACTGAGCTTACTAATATTCTAACTTGATTTCTTTTCTATTAGGTATGTCGACCTATTTACACTGTCAACGGATTACATGACGGACGAAGACGGAGCCTTCGTCACCTTTCACCCCTCGCGTCTGATAGGACTTTTCGACATGCTAAATACAGACAGTTTGGTAGACTTAATAAGTGGATTAGGAGCACCCAAGCAGAAGATCATGATAACCGTGCCGGTCAATGCGTACAAATTCACTTTGGAAAATCCGGACGAGAACGCTCCAAGATCGAAAACTACGGAGAAGGAGCCTGCGTCAATCGATCGTAAAGAGGTGTGACGTATTTTCTCGAACTATGTTTGCTTATGATTTCAACAGTTTAGCTGGAAGAAATACGAGTCCGTCAAAGATCGCAATACTCAGAGAAAAAGGCGTAGTGCGCGCAATGGCTACTATAAAAATAATAACTATACAATTATACAAGTTTTGTATGTTAAATTAATGTAATAGTTGAGTAAACCTTTTTTACATTTATAATTGCAACAACTACAAAATAATTTTTTCAACTATAACATAATACAACTTTTATAGTTACATTATTATAGTTTCAATAATTATAAAATACATAGTTTATTCAAATATGTAGGTACATTTATTCTAGAGACCCTATAATCAGAGTCTGGCCACGACATAGATATCTCGTCTGTTATTGATCCGACATTTTTCTTCAATTCACGCCAGTTGTATTATCTAGCTTTTTAACAATGAATTGTTGCATAAAAATGCTGATCTATCCAACCATTTTTACTCAAAAAGAAATACTTAGTTATTATGTGAAACCGAGAAAAAATTGGACTACACAGAACTACGACGTATATTCAGTGCGTGTTTACTTATTAGCCAGGAACTACGAAGGAAAAACTGCCACATTTACAGCGTCACAGTGCCATTGCAGAGTGAGTAAGAATGAGACAGCACATATCCGTCTCTCTCGCACAATTTTGAATAAAAATTCCAGACATTTTCGAGGTCATACTCTGATTATAGGGTCTCTAATTTATTCTATAATATATATAAAACTTATACAGTTGTAACTTTTGTAATTACTATCACTGTTTTTCTTTGAATGAAATCTATTTTTAAACTAATCGATCTATGTTATAGCTCTGCGAAGCCATAAACAACGGGGAATGGATCGTAGAACGAGATGAAGATCTCACGGCTCCTTACGCATTTCAAAACAAAACATGGATTGCTTTTGAAGATAAGATTTCGGTCGGAATAAAGGTGTGTACGCGAATTTCCCAGTTGCTCACTCTTATGTAAAAAATGAGTTACGATGCCACTGTTTAAAATTAAATAGAACATTTTTCAAAATCTATTAAGCTTTTATAAAAGCAACCGATGTTTGTATTGTCTATACGTCAAAATTAATTTCAGGGGAAATACGTGTTGTTGCGAGACTTGGCGGGATTGGCCTTGCGAAATATAGAAAATGACGTAGAGACCGAGTGCGAAGTACCGCTCACGCAAGAAATTTATCATTCCTTCACAGAGTTTAAAAAAAAATCAAGACGAGCTGTACTCAGTGCGCTAGAAGATGAGCTTCATGTGTGTGTTTTTTGTGTGTGTGTGTGTGTGTGTGTGTGTGTGTGTGTGTGTGTGTGTGTGTGTGTGTGTGTGTGTGTGTGAGCGTGCGCAAAATTATTTTTATGTCAAATTACTGTTCCTATTTTTACTAACTCATTGAAAATTTCAGCAAATGCAATTTTCGTATCCAAATCATGCGAAAACGTCTAGCTTCCGTGTCACTCGAGTTGTAGACACGGAGGGGCATATCAGAGCCGTACGCGAAAACACACAAACCGAATTCATTTGCAGACATCAAGGTTACTTCGTCCATCCAAAAAGTTGCAATAGGTAGTTACGTACCCAGTGAAAAATGATAATGGAATCGTCGAATTGATGTGGATTCGACGTCGAAATCATCGAATCGACGTCGATTCCATTGTCATTTCTCACTGGGTATGACTAATAATAGTAATGACCATACAAGCTGGTTAAACCAAAAAAATCACTATACTAAACTTGGATTTCTTTATGTAGATATACCATCATGGTATACTATATCCAATATAAATAATGTTCTTTTACAGATTCTATCGCTGCGTGAAATTCAATCAAGCGATAGAAGACTATTCCGTTTTCGAATTCGATTGTCCAGCTGGACTATCGTTTGACGAACGCACGGAAGTTTGTGTTTGGCCAGGCTCGTTGCCTGAAGGCTCACCATGTCCTGGCAGCAGCGAGATTGCTCCTGTCACCCCGAAGAGATTCGAATGTTCTCAATCCGGTTATTATGCGGATCCACAAAATTGCCGTTGGTTCTTTGCTTGCATGGACTTAGGTGTGTTACATGTTTAATGAATTATTCATGCACTCATATATAAATCTTATGTATTATTCAAAATCGCTAAGGAAAGCATTATAATTGCAGAACATGACGTGTTAACTTCATCACATATTTATGTTGCAACATATTTATATATAATAGTATCTTTTCTTCAAATTTGCAACGCACACAAAATAAAATATTATATAAATTTATATAATTATGTTGATATTGACAGGTGGAGAAGAACTAATAGCGTTCGAGTTCCGCTGTCCGTACGGCTTGGTATTCGACGAGAAGAAGTTAGTGTGCGAGTGGCCTTGGCTGGTTCCAGCTTGCTCGGAATCTAGATCAGGCTACACCAGAAACGAATACAATTATGGAAGCTACACTCCAAGAACCTCTATTGGCGTTGGAGCTGGCGGTTACGTCACCAGCGGTTTACCGGAATACTCTGTGATTATGGGAACGGATTACTCCGACATGGATTATTCTAGAACAACCGGTGCTGGTGTCCACAATACAAACTATTTTGGAACCACTGCGGGAGATATTGGTAAACACCCTGGTATTTTTATTTCTGATCCTGGACATGTAGGACTGTCCAATTTAGTCGGTACTGATTATTCTAAACTCACCAAATATGGAGGAGCAGCGTCTTCTGTTCCAACGTACAGCAAATCACCCGATATACAGATTAGTTCGGTACCACTTAGTACAATCGTCGGAGAAGAACGTGGTGTAGAATATTCTACACCGAGCAGCAAAATTGACGATGGATATACTAGATATACTACTGTATCTCCTGGCCAAGGTGGCTCTAGGTACTCCGTATCTACTGGTGGATTTAACACTGGATTTGCAAATAGGGGATCATTGAGAGGAGTTGTTGCAGACTTTTCCGGATCTACATCAAGAGAGTACTTCGGAACCGCTAGTGAAAGTCATTTGAAGGAGCAAGGTGTAACTTATTTGGAAAAACCCATTTCAAGGTATCCTAATTTGGCAAATGGTTATGCAGGAAGCGTTAGTACGAGTAGTCCGATAATAGATACAAGTTATTCGAGAACTCCGGGAAACTACTTCGAATCTACAAAATTACCTGGATCCATTGATGTCCATGTACAATCTACTAGTCCTAAATATGATGGAACAACGAATGTATACGCAGGTTCCAGCACGCTTAATGGTTTCTCAACTTCTACCGGTGTCTATCCAGGAACAGCGAGACATCAACCGTCATTCGGTGAAATCGGCCCATTATTCGGATCTGTATCTTATCCCGGTGCTAGCGGCAAAATTGAAATAACAGGATCGACTGATAAAGAATACACGGGACCAACAGCATACGAAAGACCAACTAATGCAGAATATTCCACATCTACGGGCGGTATCAGCTCTGACTTTACTGAAAATGATGTTAATGTGTCAATTAAATCTGGAATAGGATCAAGTTTGCGCAGTACAACGAGTTCAAGTCAAATCCCAGGAACTGATTTTATTAGCGACGTTCCAAAATTTAAACTGGAAACGTCAGGAATTTCTACAGTTTCCGAGCAAATAAGTGTTACTCCTAGACCAACAGGCATTTCGACAAACTATAGATATAATAATGAGGAAGAATATACGATCCCTGTATTCATACAACACGAAGAGCCCTCGATTTATCCCTCGATTGGAATAACTGGAGTCGGAGGAAGAGGCCACGTCGGAACGACTGGAACGAGTGGAATTGGTTTAACAAGTGGCTACGGGAAAACTAATTTAAACATAAGTATCTTTGGCAATGAGATTCCTATTGGTTACGATATGCAGAAAAACACTCTTAGTGCTATTCAAACTGGAGCTGCTAGCAGAGACGGAAGTAATACTGGTGACTTCTTTTCGGGGACCGTATTCAGTCATAGAAATGTTCCTGGAGCGGTGTTAACTCCTGCCATTAACCAAAACGTTATCCTAACCGGAAGAGGTCGACCTGGTTATGTCGCCCCTTCTGAAACAGCGGGATATGTGAGTAGCGATGTGAAGACTGTAAACGTTGGATCAGCTAGTCCAGAAACTCTAGTATACGAAAAATCCGGAACGCCAAATCCTACGATTCTGATAAATAGTCCTTCAACTGCCGGTGTCTTTTTGAAAGATAACTTTACTCCAAATATTAACATCTTCGGACAAACGGCTCCTGAAATATCTAGAGGTAGTTTCATTCAACCAGATTCGACAATCGAAAGTTCGACCCATAAATCGTATGAATCGCAATCAACTTATAACGGCATCGGCAATGCCCCTGCGAGAGGTTCAATTACCTATTCGAGTAGCACTCCAAGCGAAGGCTTGATACCTACAGCTCCTCAAAGCTATAGAACTGATGAAGGACGCAGCACTGTTACGTACAATTCCGTTTACGACACTAACAAGTATACAAAGAATGATATTTCGGACTACAGGCTAACCAGCACTATTCTTCCCGATTTAATTGTATCCGGTAGAGTAGAAGGTACTGGTGACATTTACGATTCTAGATTCGAAAACTCACCTACTTCAGAATATTCTTTGAGTAAATCAGCTGTTTTCACACCAAGTGGATTTACGAAGACTGGTCCAACCAGGACGGGTATAACCACTGCTGTTCTCGGAGGTGGTGGTAGTTACTCAATAAGCACAGGTGATCGTAGGCCTACTTATAGCCCCGATAATATCAGCGAAAAGGCATTTGAAGGGAATGTCGCTGGATATACTAGTACATCATCTACTGACGGTCTGTCCATCAGTTTAACTCCATCTGGCTATTCCTCGAAAGCTGTACCGGATGCTCCGAGTGGTCGCTTCACTGTACAATCAGCTACTTCCGACTACTCGTATCCTAAGCCAACCATTCAATTTGGAACTAGCGGTGCCACGTTCTCTTCAACGCCAATTGTATTGGCTGGAAATAATGTACCGAATAATGTACCGGTCACGACGTCGACGCCGTCTTTCAGCAGCTTACCAACGTCGACAATCAGACCTGTAACTCATTCTTCTGAACACCCAGAAATTTATAAAACGACTCCTTTCGAATCGTTTAAGATTCCGGTGGCTGTTCCAACCGTCAGACCTGTGATCGATACCGGTTATAAGATCTCTCGACCGATCTCTCCGACAACCATTCCATTGTTAAATGATGATCAATTCATCGAAAGAACGGGCGGTTCTCAGACTGCATCAGTATCCATGTCTAGCATTGGTTTAGGAGTGCCTTTTCAACGGACCGATTCAAGCGGCCAGACAGGTTATAGTTCCTCGTTGGGATACCTCCCACCAAAGTCGACTGAAGCTGGCGTGACTGCGTCCACCACGAAATACGACTTATCTACAGTAACGGCACAACCAGAGCTCATCGGGATAACGTATAAGAAACCTTTACCGATCTCCGACGTTATGTACGGTCCTTCCTCGTTCCAATCGCCAACCACATTCAAGCCTTCCAACATATATTATTCCAGCCGAGGATTTTCGACTACTCCGTTTTCTCTAGGGACAATCCCTAGAGGTGGATTTGGGTCTCCAACAAATCTGGATATTTCAAGAGATAAGATCAATAAACTAATTACAAACTGTGACAGGGGCACCGTCAAGTACACGCCACCCGAGTATGATACCTATTCAAGTTCTGAATTTGGCTCAACCTCGTCCAAGCAATTCACTTCATCATTGTCTTCTACGTCATCGTCATTCTCCCCAAAGATCGACAAAGACTTTGCTGTCACAACGCCATATGGCATTCAACCTTCGACATTCTCATACGAAGTTACTACAAAGTCACCTACTGAAAACAAAGGCAAAGTCATCGTCAAGTGGAGCGATCTTCATCCACTTCTTTTAGGTAAACTTGGGGCAGAGTGCACGTGCAAAGCCGATCCCTTTGCCAATCTTCGCGGTCCAGGAAAGAAACAGATCGATTCTTCCAAGGGCAAGGTGAATCTGGCCAACTATGACTCTTCTGAAATCTACGTCGATCTCGGCTACTCTGAAGAGGATGATTATTCTACCAACTACAACGTTTTCCCAGCGCAGCCCTTCAAGATTAGTCCACAGGAAACGACGGCCGTTTCGACCAATGTACCATCATCCTCTTACTTACCTACGATAGATGCTAGAACATCCGCGAGGGGTTACGAGTCTCGTTCGGGTCATCGAATGGGCAAAAAGTTGGAATATGAAGAGGAAAAAAAAGAAGAAAAGGAAGAATATGATGACGATCCTGATCAGATAATTAACGGTGTCACCGATTGCGCTAGGCCAGGTCTCTTCAGACATCCCGGCCTTTGTAATAAATTCTACGCTTGTCACTGGGATCAGTGGAAGAAGAAATTCACGCTTCACATCTTTAATTGTCCTGTTCACTTAACGTTTGATTCAAACGAGAGCGCGTGCAACTGGCCCAGTAAAGGACCAGCTTGCCAAGCCAACAATTTATTAGTGTAAATGCGTCATTAGGCTTTTATTATCGGTTGATCAGCGTCTTCTTTATATCCTCATAATGTTCCTTCTAAAATTCTTTTATACATATATAATAGAATAGAAGAAATCAAAATCTAATTGTATATTTTTAAATCACTTTTAATACAATATATTTTAAAATCATTTTTTAGATCGCTTAGTTCGGAAAACCAATTTGCTATTACACAATAAAACGTTGCGAGTGCAGTAGATAGCATGTTATTGTAAAAATAACGAGTGATTGTTACTTTCACGCGAATTCTCGGCCTTGGATTTCTTTCAGAATTTATCTTAACACCCAGATTCCCAAACGTTTGCATTGAATAGCATCGATAAATATCTCGTTGAAGTGAATCTCTTAACATCGAAGAGGAAAGTCATAGGAAGGTGGAGACTTGTTGAGATGTGAAAAGAAAACCAAATTCAAGGAGATCGAGGTACTGCAGGAAAGCGTCGTTGAAGTGAAAGTAGTCCGTGCTTGTCGATGCAAATCGCAAAAAACCGTTACATATCAACGTATACCATTTATATTTCTATATTCCGAATTTATTTAAAAACTATTGAGTCATTTTATGGTTTCTACATAAATTTAGAATATAAATGGATTTTTTCCGTTTAAATTAAACTATATCGATGAGTAGATGAATTTTTTCGTTCAATCTTAACGACAATCATATATCAGCAGTACGTTTTTCTCTGATAAAATTAATAAGGCAAGAGAAAGTCGAATTTTCAGAACACAAATAAATAATAACGTTTGTACTGTATTTAATTTTTAAATTTACATATTCTATAAAAATTTCGTGTTTTCTGAAAATTCGTGTAGGTTAAAAATGCTTCTTATAATATGATGAGTGACCTAACGTCTCTTGCTATTGTATCTGGCATAACGATATCGATAACGTACTGCACGACTGATATTCTTCCTGATCGAATTCGCGTTTTTCCTTTCCGAGTATCTTGATAACTTCCTGACATTCTTGAGATAATTATTTGTTTTATATACTATACGTATACTATAAGCTTGCCTTGATTTTCCGTTCCTATCTTATCTTTCCTGTTCTCACAAAATATAATTTATCCTTTGCTTATTAAGAAAACATAGCGATAATGTCAACGACTACTCTTTCTACGGTTTTGACAGCACTTTAATTACCGTGCCATTTACCAAGCGGTTAATTAAGTACTGTTATAATTTTAATAAAGTAATAAATTGCAACCAAGGTGTATTTTCATTTATTAGCAAACTGACCTTTATCCTACTGAAATATTGTAATAAATTATTTTGCAATTCAGTGCAATTATTAAAATTGCATTGGATTACAATTTCAACAAAAATATTACAAGCCATTAATATACATAACATTGAAAAATTTATATCAAAAGGTATATTTAAAAATATATTTTCTGACATAAACTTTTTAATATCATGTATTAATTATATGTAAAGATACAGTAAAAATATTAGAAATATAGCAAATTTTAAAAAAGAGAGAGAGAGAGAGAGAGAGAGAGAGAGATATTTAAAAAATATTTTTATTATATTTTATTATAAAAGCACGTATTATGCTCCTTTACAAAGGATTATATTATGTGTTTATACCTCTCTGTTTTTAGACTTTTCCAGTTCAAAAGTTAAATAACAAAATGTTGTCTTAATTAGATAAATTTTGATTTATATCCGTTTATTTTTCAAAATTTATCAATCGTATCCCGTTGCTTTTAGGACATTTGTGTCGAAGAAGTGTGATAGTTCTTTTAAAACCTTCCTCTCGCCGATTGTTATGAGAAGCCGTCACTATCTAGCCAACTAACTTACCAGCGGCTGGAGTAGGGTCGCGATTACCAATTAGTGAGAAAGAGAACACTTATTGTGGTGAAACAAGACGCAAAATGAAAGAAAAGGCTGGTGTCGACACGCAATTCACTAGTCGAGCTAGAAGGTGATATAAAGGCGTACAGAGGTCCGATTCGATCTGATTTGTCTTAACATCAACTGAGAAGCAATCTAATAGGGCGAAATTCGTCGCTGCCACACCACATTTTACCATCATGTAAGTCTGTTATTTATTTTACTGTTATTTGATAAAGAGTTATTTTCCCTCAGTTTCATTAGGTAACGATTGTAATGCTCTTTATCGTGTTGTAACGACCATACCGTTTCTCCATTTCAATGAACACATAATTTTAAAATCAATCTTAGGTCCAGTTGCATTAATGTAAGATTAACTTTAATCTCGATTCAATTTACTCTTTATCTTTTCCTAATTCTAAGAAGTAAGTCCTAGACTCAGTTTTTTATTATCTGGTTAATTTGTGATTTGGCTTAACCTGATGTTTGTCCAATGGACTTCATCTATGATCCGATGATGTCATGGATTATAGATGGATAAAGCCCATTGGGTGAAACATAAGGTTAAGCTTAACCACAATTAAGTTAACCAGATAATGAAAAACCGGACCTTAAAATAAGTGAAACCGAGATCAAAAAAAGTTAATTTTATATTAAGAAAATCGGGCCTTATTCTATTAGATTATAAGCTAATTTTTAATTATAATTTAAATTTTTCAACATCAAGTTTTTTAATGTTACAATCAAGTACAAATAATTTTTGAAAAATATTTAACAAATAAAGATTAAATTTAAGAATTAATTGAATTTTCTTCCGTTTTATCCCCTGTCATACAATTGTGAATATAATTAAATAATATCGATCAAACATTTTATTATTTATTTCTATAACAATAAGATATAAATTTAGTAAGCATAAAATTTTGATTTACATGAAAAAGTTTTCAAAAGACAATTGCAATAACAATATAATAGGAATACAAATCAATGTAAATAAGTGCAGGAAATAAAAATGCGATAGTCGTCAACCTTGCAACTAGCATCACACTTCGCAGTTCCGATTACTAATAAATCAATACAAATGATTTCTTTATTTATCATTACTGGATATTTTTCCTGTATTGTAATCGCGTTATTGAAAGGCAAGCTCAAAATATTATGCACAGTGCGTTTCGGTCAATAACTTGATTATTTTTAGCTTCAATCACGCATACGTATTAATATATTTCGCTTTCTTTTAGCGACAAAAATCGATTTGCTTTATGTGAACACAAATTTCATATCTCGTATCAGAAAAAAAAACATTAAATTTTTATATTAAATATTACATTGTAATACTTACTATTTACAATAGCAAAATTTGAATATCTGACTTGTGCTTATAAATTATGTGGTGAAAACATAATATAAACATTTTGTATTGCAAATAATGCAAACAATTTATGAAAATGTTCATTAAATAAAGAAACATTCAAATTTCGTATATACCAAATTTCATTACTAAAATTAATTTCTGATATTATTACATGTTATAATCTATTCTTCAATTATCATCAGAATGTTTCATGAAAGTTATGAAAACTTTTTATATTTTAATATATTTATCCAAGCATAAAATTAATAACAACAATCTTTAATAGGATCTACAAAAAAGATTGTATCATAAAATAGAAAATAAAAGATCTGCAATAACTTGATAAAAAAAAAATAAAGGATACATGTGAAGAAGACGATAAATCTGAGACTGAGGAATAGCCGCAAGCAGTGAAAGTAGCGCAATCCACCGACTGAACTTTACCGAGAATGGTCACATTGGCGATTGAACGTCAGACGAGCAGAAAAAGAAACGATACGAGCGTAAAAAAGTTCCTGCGCATGCCACATGACGTATTGCATAATAACATGTTGTCGCCTCGTGCGCATTGATGCTAATTCCCAGTATTGTAATTCCAAATCGCAGTTTCATCTTGGATCTATTTGTAGATCAGAATGGATTTATTTGTAGATATGTATTCAAAGATCCAACTAATTAATTTGCACTCTATTCTCATCAAACAAATGAGATTTTTTTAGCAAGTTACATAAATTCGCTTTAAAAAAAGTTTTCTAAGCGTGCTTTTTACTATAAAGTATTAATTTGGGATTATCTAGCAAACAATTCAATTTGTATAATTTACCAAAAGTTGTTAAAAACTAAAAGCATGACATATATAAAGTGTATTTATTAATACATATATACAGGATGTCCGAAAACTGACGATAAATATTTTAAAGACGGATTCTTTTTAACATTTTCAAATGAAAAGTGTAATACAAAAATGAGGCTATGATAGTTTTTATAAATGGAAAGAATTTAAATTTGAAGAACAGAGAGCACTGACATTTTTTTGTTATCCCTGATTGCGCGCGACATTCTAGCGATTCTAGTCCCTTTATTCATAATTTTAAAACTATTCTCATTTGCAAACTGTCATAGCCTTGACATTTTCGTATTAGACTTTTTGTCTTAAAATGTTACAGAGAATCTGTCTTTAAAATATTTATTGTCAGTTTCGGGACACCCTGTGTAATTATTTTTTATTACTTATATACAATCAAGTCAAGCCTTGCTAATTATTGTACATTCGCTCATTTATATGAGTAGGGTGGTGTGGACGGTACTGATATTGGCTGCGGTCGTGTTGACCGATGCAGCGGTACCAGATCCACCAGAAAATTCCGGCATCACCACGATCGGCTCCAAAAAATTAGCAACTGCCGCTGATTGTGCCGGACTTGTCGCCTTCTCTGCAATCCAAGGGTCAGTAAATGTGAGTAAACCACGTAATAATAATATAATATGTAGCACGTCCAGTGAAAGTTTTCTTCAGAACTTTCATACGAATTAGAACACTTTTCAAATAAGATACTGAAAATTTTCACATCTTTCTTATAAGAATATTTCATATACAGAGTATTTGGAATTTAAATGTCAAAACTTTGGGAGCGTGTAGGGGATTGATAAACTAAAAAAAAAAAGAATCCTGAAATATGCTCGTTTTTGCTTCGTTTTGGAGAAAATCGCAAAAAAGATAAAACGTAGTTTTCATTTTTGTACTGTCTCATTTCTTATTCACGTTGTACTTATTCACTTGCTTAATGTAGATATGATACAATCAAAATGTTGACCTCTTGTCGCAGAAACCATACGCGAAAACTATATCAGCATATTCAATCAGCATATTACAATATATGCACGCGGGATATTGTGACAGGAATAATTCACTCGATGACTTCTGACGAGTAACTGACGAATTTACAGGAGAAAGGCAGAAATGTAAATAAATAAAAAAAGTTTTTACCTAAAAATGGAATTATTATTATTGTTTTCATGCACGATTTCATGCGACGATAATACTTCAGAGGCAGTGCGAGAACGAAGCAACTGTGTAGTTTTATCTCTTTTTTGCAATTTTCTCCAAAACGTAGCAAAAACGAGCATATCTCTACTTTTTTTCTTAGTTTAACGATCCCCTACTCGCTCCCGAAATTTTGACATTTAAATTCCAAAGATCCTGAGTCATGAATTCTGAAATATTCTAAGATTTCCAAGATTTCTCATTTTATAATTTCTTAAAAAATACCATTATCTTTTTCAAATTTTACAAGATTTTATCAGAAATTATGGAATATGAGAAATCTTAAAATTCAAAATTCACATATAAATTTCAGAATTCATATATATGAAAAAATATAAGAACATATATTTGCCAACAAGGATTTATTTTATTTTATTTTATTTAAAAAGTAACCTTAATTTTAATAGAAAAGAATAGAAGAATTTTTTGATGATAGAAAAAACTAATTTAACTCCCTCGAAATAGAACTTAGTTTTAAATTCTATATATTTTTATGCATTTCAAGAATAATTTATAGGTGTAAATGTATACAGGAAGCTAAGCTCGTCCTCGACGAGACGCTAGTAGACAAGGGAGTCGGTTACGCGGCGCAGACAGGTATCTTCACCACGCATTGTCCTGGCCTCTACCAATTCAGTTTCGCCGGATACGGTAGCACGGATCTGCGGCTGATATTGAAACGCAAACTGAACAAATCCGACAGTTGGAGAACGATTATCAGCGCTGGTCCAGGCGGAGGAAGCAATCTCGTCCTGCTAGATGTCGAAGCCGGTGATCAACTTGCCGTCTTCGTTGAATCCGGGAAGATCACCGACGGAGCTAGCTTCACGGGTCATCGTGTTTATAAAAGATAAACAACAATCTTGAATAAATTCAGGATACCGATCACAATTATGGAAACAAAATTGATGTTATAATCTAAAACTCAGTCTAAAATGATTATTGATATACAAAGATTGAAATAATTGACAAAAATCTTGAAATATTTTCAGTTCAAAAAAGTGTATTTAACAAGAAAAATTTGTAAGATAGTCGTTGTAAAGTTTTGAATATTTTATGACTCATTTTTTATCTTTTAAAATTTTAGTAATATATTTTAAATTGGATCTTTTAAAATTATAAAATATCTGATTAAAATTATAAGATACTAAAACATAATGTCATACTCTCAAACCGCCAGAGTATCATTAAATGCATCTAAAAGCAATTACAAAGCAAAGAAAAAAAGGATTGAAACGCTTTTGCAAAATCCAAGTTTTTTTTCTACAAACAAGAGTTTTGCTTGTATACTAAAATATAGTTCCTGATTCGTAATTCTAAAACTTCTCGATGAACTTAACGTTCTGTGATAGCTATTTCATTTCGGAGTCAAAAATTTAATTGATTTTTATAATTTCTTGAAGTAGAATGATAAAATATCTAATTAGTCTATACATCGAACTTTTCCGGTTTCTAGTTTTCGCTTTGCATTTCTTTCAGTTCGCTTTCTAACATTTTTTGTTCACATTAACTTTCTCCTCGTCTTTCAATTCATTTTCCTCAATATATCATTGCTTCCTTATTTTCTTCGCTACAATAACGCATGATTAAGAAAGAAGAAACTTTCTCTGTGCAAAATTTACGCGTTCCTTTTTTTCTATATTCCTTTGATTAAATTTACATTTCTAATCTTTATTATTTTCTAGTCTTCCATATCTCTCTTCTGTATATTCTTTTTTTTTTATTTCTTTCTATTCAGTTATGCATCTCTGACTTTATCATTTTTTATTATTTCTTTAGCTTTATGTATTAATTCTTCGTGTATCTTTCCTTCCTCTATCTTCTTCTTTACTCCCTTTAGAATTTTTTAATCTTTTTATCATTAAATCCATATTAATCTTTTAGTCTGTCATGAGCTTCAATTCTTTTCTTTTGACATATTATCCTTTATTATTTTGAAAACTATTTTTCGTCTTATTATCTTCCTGCAGAGTTTTGATTTATTCTTTTCCTTTCGTTTTTTGGAATTTGCTTTACATTTTAACGAATTCAATATAATTTCTTAAACTTTTATTATCTTTAATTTCATTATTTCCATTACTTCCATTTCATTACCTCTGTTATCGTTTTCTCTTTTAAATCTAATTTCTTATTTATTATACTATTTCATTGTTTCTCTCTGTTCTATTTTTCTTTTTCTAAATACATACATTATATTTTTTCTGAACTTTCTTCTTAATCTTCTGCCTTCTTCTTTTTTATAATTTTAATATATTTTTTATATTTTTGTATAATTCTCTGTTTCCAGTTTAGTTTAAATACAAATTGCTTCCTCAATCTCTTTTTACGTCTTGATATCTATCTGTCCACGCAACAATTCGAAGTCATATGGACATCTGAACGACGTCCTGTTTGTCATATATGGATATCATATCGAATATATTTCCAAAAACGTCCAGTAGACGTCCTTCATACGTACAATGTACTACCCAAAGACATCTAACAGACATCGTTAGTTAGTACATCCAATTTCTAAAGACACAAAGAGTTCTAAAACTATTCTTGTTTTCTGAACTGTGTAAGTTTCTGGGAAAAAAAAAAGAACCGAACAGTCGTCGTCAGTAAAGTCCGAAAAACTATCAAAAAACTTTATTTATTTTCATTTTGGTTTCCAATTACAGGAACTTATCTCTAAGGCATCATTTTATTATCATCTTACTAAAACACGGGTAAAAATTTTTCACTGCAAAAAATCTCATAATGCTGAGCCTTTCATTCTATTCGATGTAGTTTTTTAAATATGAGCAATTAAATTCCGCTGCGTCCATCTAGTGGTGATGTCCCACATTGCTTGAAAATTGAACATTGACAACGTTGGCTGTTCGTAGAATGTTTCTGTAAATAACATTATTACACAGGACGTTCTAACCCAGTGAGAAATAACAGTGGAATCGACGTCGATTCGATGGTTTCGACGTCGAATCGACATCGATTCGACATCGATTCCATTGTCATTTCTCACTGGGTGACAATGTTCTTGAAACGTATTTCAGATCCCCAACAGCGATATAAATGAGATTTTTCAAGACGTATTTCGGACATCCAAAGAACACCGAATTGTTGCGTGGACATTCATTTATTGATATATCTATCGATTTATCTATCTCTTTCGTTCCGTTTCTATTTCTATATATGTGTGTGCGCGCGCGCATGTGTGTGTGTAATGTGTATATATGATCATAATCGCTTGCTATCACAGTACAGTTATGGAGAGAAGATTTGTAAAATTGGCAGAAAGCGAAAAAAGGAAAGAAAGAAATTACGACGATAAAACAGAAGAAATGACAATACTAAATTTATTAGTCTTATCAGACGACGTTATGTGGAGTCTACAATAGAAGTCGTAGCGGTCGTAGGGTCTTAAGTCGTAGAAAATTGACCAATCACAGTTAATTATTCTTCTCATATTCGACTGTGATTGATCAATTTTCTACGACTTAAGACTCTACGATTGTTACGACTTCTATTGTAGACCCCGCATTAAAGAACGCGTACGGATGCGCGCATTTGCGACGAACAGTGCGAATTATTTTTCTGTATAATAATGTAATTTTATTAAATTTATCAATATAAGAAATGTTAACGCAATGAATAAAGTTGTGCACGTATTTCTTATCGATAAACTGAATAATAACCTAACATCACACACAGACTTCTTTGGAAGAAACATGAAGAGATTTTTATAACACATAATCAAATATTAAGTTCAACTTTTCCAGTTTCCAATCCCTTGTAATTTTTGAGTACAGGATACACCTCCTCTTCAAGAAATTCGACAACCTGCTCGGGCGCTCTACCGACGAAGGTTGACGGGTCCAGCAGAATGTTCAGTTGAGATAAAATGGGCGCAAAGTATGAATCCTTTCTGATCCTATCAACCAAATCGTTATCCAAGCCGTGTTGCTTCACTTGCGCTCCAGCTTCTTGCGATAATATACGGATTTTCTCGTGGCAAATCTTAAGCAAATACATAAAAGCGACATATAAGCAGAATTAATTACTTAATACGTATAATATTTCATAAAATCAAATCTAATTAAATAAAAGAATTTCTATCAAAATTAAGAACAAGATTTCATATAGTTACACACTTTGATTGATTAAATTATCGACTACTTTGGTGAAAAAAGTTCTTATAATATCTTCTAATATTTTTAAGAATTCTTCATATGTAAAATTTATACAGATTTCTGAAAAATTCTTCAGATTTTATCAATTTTCTTCAGAAGTTACAGAATGAAAAATCTTAGAGGTCTTAGAGTGTTTCAAAATTTATATATAGGTACACAAAGAATTCTAAAAAAGATATATATATCTTTTTCAGCATTTCTGAAGTGTCACAATGTTTATATAAAAAATCTGAGAAATTTTCTTAAAAGACTGTAAAATTATACAGAAATTCCGAAAAATTCCGAAATTTATGTTGAAATGCTGAAAAACTTTGTGAAATGTTATAAGAAAAATTTTCGACGAGGCGATTTAGACTTTTCGTTAAAAATAATGTAAATTATTGAAAAAATATCTAAAGAGCATTTCGCACTTGTCTATCGCCTCCGGCCTTCACCATGGCCATGATCACATTTTCCGCGGACATGAAAGGCAACTCCTGTGCCACGTGTCTGGCGATGACTTTAGGATAAACGACTAATCCCTCCGTGATGTTCTCGAGAGTCATCAGGATCGAGTCGGCTGACAAGTAAGCTTCCGCTAGGACAAGCCGGCGATTCGCCGAATCGTCTAGCGTTCGTTCCATCCATTGAGTCGCCGCAGTATGAAGAGTGTTGTTTACAAGAACCATCAGGTGACGTGCTACACTGCAACATCTCTCAGAGCGCATGGGGTTTCGTTTGTAGGGCATCGCACTGGATCCTATTTGCGTGCTTTCGAAAGGCTCCTCGATTTCTTTCATATTAGCGAGAAGACGGATGTCTGTGCAAATCTAGGAAAATTAAAAAGAAAAAGATGAATTCAAGACCGAGACTTTGCAATAAAGGAAAAGATAAATGTTCAAGATGGATCTCTTTGAAATTGCCACATGATTGTGGCTGTCAATGCATAGATGTAAGTGCATCAATTCAGGCTCACCTTGTGAACGGTAGCACCAAGTGAACTCAAAACGTTCAAACATTCGATGTCGACTTTTCTGCTGTAGGTCTGTCCGGTGACGGGGTAGTGTTTCTCGAAACCAGCCATCTTAGTCACGAGAGCATCTAATTGTTTCACCTTTTTAGCATCACCTGTTGATATAAATTTGAACAATTATTCGAATATGAGATTCAATATTTAAAATTTTTTTAATTTGAAGAGAGTTAGAGATTTTTTTTAGAAATCTTCATGAACATAAAATATGAAAACTTTTTAAAAATATTATAAAAATTGTTTTTATCAGAAATTCTCTTAAAATCTAAAGTCAAATTAAAATTCTATATACAATTATTTCTAAAAATTAGTCTCTTTAATTAAGGTTACCTAAAAAATCTCGACATTAAGTTTCGTGAGCTATTTTGCATATTTCTTCTTGATGAAAATTATAAAAGAGTTGCAGATTAGTAGACTACCGACCACTAACAAACCGACCATTAAAAAGCTGAAGGAAAGACGCTTGAGTGCCTGTAGTGCCTTTAACTCCGCGGAATTTCAAATCGTTTCTGGCGCGACGTATAGCTCTCTCATCCATCAATAAGTCCTGCAGCCATAGCGTCGCCCTTTTGCCAACCGTTGTCAGTTGTGCGGGTTGAAGATGAGTGAAACCCAAAGTAGGCAGATTGCGGTTTTCGTAAGCAAATTTCGTGAGACGCTGAATTACGCCGGCTAGCTTTGGAAGTAATATATCGAAGCCTTGGCGGAGTATCAGGAGGTCCTTCAAGAAGAGACAATATCCACAAATTAGATAATTTCGGCCAGTTAGTTAAACTAATAAACGTACAAAGTGTTAACGGCACAATAATCGATTATTGGACTGATCACGCTGACGAAAATTTTCCTTACGCCAGTCACACACGTTCAAGTAAACTCGCAAAAGCGGAACTTGCGCAAGCATACTTGACAAGTTTATTTGAACGTGTGTGGCTGGCCTTAGAATTCTTTATATAATAAAAATTTTTTATACGAATCAGAACACTTTTCAGAAATGTTGAAAAAGTTTACGTCTTTAACTAGAATTTTTTTGTATATGAATTTTGAAATACGGTAAGATTTTTTATTCAATAATTCCAAAGAAGATTGAATAAAATAAATCCAAAGAAAACTGAATAAAATCTGAAGAAACTTAAGATATTTTCGGAAATCTTCATAAATTTAAAACATGAAAAACTTCTTAAAAACGTTATGAGATGTTGAGAATTTTTCATTGAAGCAGTAATTAAAAACATAATTATATTTTGTTATCAAGATAAATAAAAGAAAATATTTTTATGACAGAATTAAGGTGGAAGCTGTACCGTATTATCGCCCACGTAACAGCTGGTTGCACCAAGATGGATAATAGGCGCAGCCAGGGGACATTGTTCACCGAATACATGAACGTGCGCCATCACATCGTGCCTCGTCGCCTTTTCTTCTTTTGCGGCGGCTTTGAAGTCGATGTCGTCCACGTGGGCCTCCATTTCGACGATTTGTTCCGGTTTGATCGCTAGACCGAGTTCCTAAAAAATTATCAATAAACATTTCTGGATGATATCATTAAGAAATTCGTTATTTTGGTTGCAAAAATGAAGTACAATGCGATAATTTTACGATTCGGCCAGTTTAAATTATCATTCAGATAAGATCACGCATGTGCGACTATCCTCTACGATTCTTATCCCCATTTCAACGTACTCTCCGTATCATCTGATTAGATAAAGAGGGCTTGGTTCTGCTTCGGAATTAAACCCCGACGCAAGTTTTATTACGTACGTTTTCATAGCAAAAGGCGAGTGCCGAGAAGTCTGCAAACATGGTGTCTTTGCAGACTATTGCGAGTATAGTGATCAAAGTGCTAAAGTTGGTGAGAAGATTGTATTTTGGATTTCGTACAGTAATCGTGGAAAGTGAATATCTATAGAAAGAAAACGAGAGAGAGAGAGAGAGAGAGAGAGAGAGAGAGAGAGAGAGAGAATTCCATAAAATATCCAATTACGTGTAATATATAATGATATCTTGTTTCTCTTAATTTGGAGTTCTCTTGGTTTGGTATAAATTTAATGTATATACAATATAATTTTGAACGAGTCGAACAATTTTTAATAATTAGTTTATAAGTAAACGATCTAATGTCATCCATTTTTACATTCAATTTTGAATTATTTCTTAAAAAGATTTTGTCTCAATATCTTTTGTAGGCATTTCTTTATATAAACCATTAATTAAATGTTCACTAAAAAGAAAAAATTTACTAAATTGAGTAATCATTAAAAATTCACGATCAATTTGATCAAATTCTTGAATATGCAAACTATAACAGCGAATACTTTTTTATTGTGATATGTACGTACGCAGAAATAATAAAATTTGAGATCAGAAGTCGTGTTCAATAAGACATCGAGGAGATGATAAAATGACGTAATAAAACTTCGGTATATAATACAGTAAACTTTGATATAGGAAAGTAATTTAAATGTGATGCACGTTGTAATCAGTAAATTATTTAATTAATGCAGTCAATGAATTGAATTACGGATGATTAACAAAAAACGTAGATTGAAAAATCATCACCATACATTCATTCAAGGGACGTATGAATCATTCGTATTGCCCTTATCGGCCTGCGATAACGTACGCTGTTTAGCAAACGATACGCTATGCCGTTGTCGCTTCTAAAGTGCACGAAACTACAGAGTGTACCAGAAAATCTCTTTATAATGAGAATAAGACTCTATTATTATATCTTGATACTATTTGCTTTCGATCAACTCTTTCATATAATTTTTAATTTTTCAGCATTAATCTTTCGAACTCAAAATAAAGTTCCTTTTGTTCCAGAAACATAAAACTATGTTTCCTTAAAAAATGAGTTTTTATAATTCATTTACTTTTGTCAAACTTGATTTCGCTAAACATTTAAACGTATGTTGTTAAAAACGTTTATATAATTGCAAAAAAGATTTGATTTTGGACAATATTGCTTCATTATCATTATATAAGTTCCTGCGGCATTTCACTCATTGATACCAAAGCAAAATGTTAGCAGTATTCCTGTAGATTCGAACAGAATATTTTGCGGTAGATTAACATCAACTGCGTCCGTACTAAGTTCGTATATTTAGCCAGCAAAATGTGCGCGTAATCTGACAGCAAATTGTTAGTAGAAACCGAGTAAACTCTGTCATTTCGTAATCATTGAAAGATCTCTGGTAAAAGAAACAAAATGAGAATATCTCATAATATTTTTAAGATTTTGTCATATTTTTCATTCATGAAGATTTCTGAAAATATTCTCTTTCGATTTCTTCAGATTTTATAAGTTTTTTTTTAGACGTTGTAGAATGAAAAATAAAATTTAGATATTATTAAATACTTAGAATATTTCAGATGTACGTACATGTAAGAAATTTTAGAAAAAGTGCAAATTTTTTCAGAATTTCTGAAAAGTACGTGTTTTTAAAATTTTTCGATTTGTCACAGGTTATCAACTTCATCATACTGATCCTCTATCGTACAGGATACGGTGGCGAGTTTCTAGGCGTCGGTGGAACCTGGAACTTGAACGAAGACAAGAATCCCGATGCCGAGATCGTCGCTTCCGGCGTATTCGTTGGATTCTTCATCTATACGAGCGTCGTTCTCGTCAGCTACTGTTTTGGCAATTCCGACCACAAAAAAACCCTTGTTGTATGTATTTGTTCCTTTTATTTCACTTTTCATTTCATACGATAAACTTTAGTTGAATAGTTCATGTTAAACATAATAAAAGCAAATACATATAATATATTCTATTATTCAATTAATAAAGTTGCGTAGGCCCCAAAGAAATTAATTAAAAATGAATTAAAGGCCTCCAAGAGCCGGCGCTCTATAGATACATATTATTGCGAATTATAATTTATTTTAAATAATATTACAATAAATATACGTTTCGAGTCATGGGATTAAAGGATCCTCTTCAGTACTTAAAATTAAACCAAAAGTGGACTTTCTACATTTAATTAACTGAGTTAGGTCAACAATATTATGTGCAATCTAAACAATTACGTTAGATTACATTTAGCAAAACGACATTCAACGGTTCAAATTTAAGTGTCATTTTTAATATACAAAACATATTAAAAGCAACAATTGAGTATAATCGAATACATGTTTTCTCTTCATCTAAAAAAGATAGTATTCACAAAGTTTGACAATCTTAAAGAAATTTTGGAACAATTTCATCAAAATATATTACCTTTTTTAAAGGAAATCATCATGAATTTCGTTGGGACTTTCATGTTTGTGGCTGTGGGTGGAACAGCTCTACATTATTGGCATGGCTATCAACCTGAGCAGAAATTCATGTATGATGCACCAGAGAGGCAGGTAAGTCGAATCCCTAACTTATAAGCAGAGTTTGGATCTTGATGTCGTTTTCTCCCACTCCAAGTGCCGCATGTCGCGAGAAGCAGTACCGTCCATGGCTACGATTACACCGTGCGCTTAGTCCGCGACCTATACGATAACTGTCTTTGTTTAACCTACAAGATAAACAAGGACATCTATTGTATAGGCCGCGGCCTAAATGCACGGTGTAAACGTAGCCCTGGACATATGCAAGTAGGCCATGATGCAGGTAAAACTCACAATCAGTTAATTTCAGTCGAATTTCGGTACGTTATGGTTACGTGATAGCAGTGATAGTTTGTCAAATTAATTAATAAGTCATAAAATAATTTCAAATAATTTTAAATTGATGCGTACACCTAACTCTCCCTATAACACACCGTAGCGTGCATGGAAATCCATGGTAGAAGGATACAAGGTGTATTATTCCCGTGAATGCGCAATCTATTATAAATGGCCAATCAGAAATCGGTCACAAATATTAAAAAGCAACATGGCGCCGCAAACATTTGACGCTGATCGAGTCAGTTGTCAAATGCTGCTCTCGCAGATGATTTATGATCAACATTTGATTGATTATCTCCTCTCTATTGCTGCCATTATGCGCAATGATACGCATTGTTTCGTTCCATCTACAGGAGTTACATCGTAGACAGTATACTACTTCTCGCGCGACGTGCGAGAAGTTCTTTCACTTGGAGTGAAAGAAAACAACATCGAGATCCGGAATCTGCTTATAAGATCACAAAAAAGCATTAAAAAATTAAAAGCTGTATAAACTTGCAAATAATTACAACGTGCATCTTCTTCCATTTTAGCTATTTACTCAGTCGATGTATACCATTTAAAAGTATAAACATAACATCAACAATGTTATAATTTTACACTCAACAATATAAATGTAATAATACTTGGTTACATAACAATTATATTGTTGAGTGCGAAATTATAACGAAATTATAATTGATATTATATTATCTTTTAGTTGCTGTTGACTGAGTATTATTTAAACAAAAACTTACTATAAAGTTTGTTTTATAGAACATGTATTTGATATCCCATCTCCTTCTTTGAAATCAACGATAAATTGTGTTGTATTAAACTCGAAAAATTAATAATTTCAGATCGGCTTGGCCGTGGGTTCGTTGTGCGTTTTAGAAGGTGCAGCATACTTGATTGATTTAATATTAAGCTTTCTTCATTACGCTAAGGAAGAATTTCAATAAAACGAAACGCTAAACATCATTTTAAAATTTATGAAAAATTTTCTGTTTCATTCCATCAACGCCAATTCATGCTACAACTAACAATATATACCAAAGAAAAGTTTCACATATTATAAATTCTATTACAATTAGATTATGTTCGTTGCCTTTGGCAATACTTATATATTAATCACGTTTCTGCATAAAAATTTCTCTCTTCGCAGAAAAAATATAAATAACCTTGTCCTTTTTTGAAGACAGACAAAATTTTCCTCATTATACGTTTTTATACATACCTATATATTTATTCATGCATATATAGTTCTCATTGAAAATACATGTGAAACGTATACGAAATAAAATTTATAACAAAATTTGTAATAAAATGACTTAAAATATATTTCGTGTATATTGAACTCTCCGTCAGCATCACTATTAAATAATATAAGTAAAATATATAATATATTTTATATTTTTGTAATACAAAGTATAAAATATTTCGTAAATAATAAATATTTTATAAATATTGTGCGCTGTCTGGAAAAAGTCTATATATACTAATGTGTATATATATATATATGTATATATATATGTATATATATATATATATATAGTCTTTAGAGGAATTTAATACCTACTGTAATTGGTTAGTGATTAATTATTTATTCTAATTAAGTATTAATAAAGCATTATTGTTAATGTTTTCGATACTTCAAGTAACCCAGATAATCAAGCTTCTTATTATAAGAAAGAAAATAGTTGCTTGATACAAGTTTCCTTTCAGTTGCCATAAAAATTGCCACAATATATTTGGAAGAGAGAACTGTTGCCCCTGAGTATTGCCATCAAGTTGCTCCTAATCATCATTGGTGACAATAAAAATCGGCAATCCAATATAGACAAAATCAATCGAAAGTTGCTTTCCTCAATATTACAGGCAATTTAAGCAACTTGCTCTATCTGAGAAGTAATAAATTACTAACCAATTCAATACTTAATACTTACATGTGTTTTCCTCTAAGGATTTATTACATCATGATTGACTATATTGTTATGAATTTTAATTAAAAATAATTTTATATTAAAGAATTTACACACCACGAACTGAGTCAGATTCATATAGCCCTTCTCTTAATATTTCAATCTTTTTTAAAAGAAAATTAGTATTTTAGATATTTTTGCATTGCGACGCCTATGGAAATTTATTTCTCCTTGACATGTCTGGTACTTTTTTTCGCGTTTAACGACCGATAATGCATATCGGACGATCATTACGTAGTCCCCTTTGTTTAACGAGGCTCAATCATGGAAACTAAAGAAATACGGAAACGCAGAAAGAGTGACTAAAAAAATGACTCACGCCTTTTTCGAAATAAACGACTCCGTAATGTTCCACCGGATGATTTCATCATGGGCCCTTTAAGATCCCGTTGTGCGCACCAATTAATCTACTTGACCTGGCAATCGTCGCGGATGACCGACACGACTACACATCCACCCACAAGTCGGACATATAATCACGTTAATTATGGAGGTCGTGCCTAATTTGACTAAATCATAAACCTAGCATATAGTAGGATAAGTAATTCCTTAAATAAGTATAAACGACTTAATTACTGAGAAAGAAAAAAGTGCTTAAAATCAACTATTATCCAAGATTTGAATTTTTTTTCATATTTGAGTCTCTGAAATGTTCGGAATATAATTAGAAATGATCATCCATTTTCAACATTTTGAACAAAAGTTTGCAATTATACATGTCGAATGAAAAAATATGCTGAATTACGTAAACAACAAACAAAAATCCAACAGTTTATATAATAGAAACGTACATAAATAATGTAACCAAATATTATATATGTGTTTTCTTTTAAATCAATTTTCTAATATTTTAAGTAATAAAAGTTTCGTAAAGAATCGATTGTACAACACTTTGATGAATGTAATTGTTAAGTCTTAAATGTTGATTATTAACCAATTATTGTATAAATGGGATTCATAATATCATTTTCTCCTTAAAACAAAATAAAATACGATCAAAGTCTGGGCTTTCTACAATAAGCTATTACCTAGGGTTTAAATAAGACGTTCGACTATGATTGATCAATTTTTTACGGCTTAAGACTTAAAAGTTTTAGTAATGGATTATTGCAGTAGAAAACCCATAAGACATAAGCGTGTCTATAGACTTCTTTTTTCTCTTCGTGTTTGCGTATCTCATACCGTTGCAATTCTTATATCTAAAAAGAACAAGTTAATATAGAATAAAAAAAGACATTGTGCATACTACGGCAGATAAATTACTATTTAAGTGAATGAATATAACCGTCGAAAAGTAACTGCAATCACGTACTCTTCGTAAATGTTTCATTGAGGACGAGTTGACATAGATACCTATGCAGTAATCACAATATATGGAAAGTAAGAAATTGCCAGTATGTCATGTGGATCGATTCCACGACGATTTCTGGTAATGTTGATTAAAGCGAGTATAACCTACAAAAATTACAAGTTGAACACTTAAGTGTGATCTCTTTATAATAACTTTTTCTTTTATAGACAATGAAAAACCGATAGTTGAAAGAAAAAAAAAAAACAATTCGTAAAAGTGTGCAAGATGATTTTAATTCCAGATCAAGAGTATATCGATTTAAATAAACTCCAAATTAATTGCTTCCCCTTAATATTTCATTTGTATCAGCACGTGCAATAATCTTGAAAAGTAATGCAATCTTTTTTTTTGAATAAATTAATTTTTATACGTAAAATGTTGGTCAAACGGAGAAGAAAATGATGTACTGATACACGAGAACCATGATTATTACTTAAAAATTAACTACAAACGATTATTTAAACATCTTACAATGTGATTTACGGTGAAAGTTTACATTAGGAGAGCTTCCTTCCTGAGTAATCTCCGACAAGAGATTTTTTACTTTGACGTCAGTCGCTCGGTCGGTCGTTATCCGTTAAAAAGTTATTGATAAAATAATTGGTAAAAATACCGATCAAGGGACCTTGACTTGGTATATTTACCTTTATTTATTACTATTATTATACTAAATATTAATTCAAATTAATTGAAGGTCGATGTTAATAAACATCGCGTATTAAAAACCATCATAACAATATTTCTTAATCACTGTGATGTAACCATTTCAATCGTATTTCATACAATAGAGACTCTACTTCTTGTGCTCTCGCAATTAAGCGTTTATAAATTATAATCCAACAGAATGTCTAGTAATTCGGATTGTTTACTAATCTATAGCGAGTTAAAAATAACCGTTCCGCCACAATTACGTAAGACGCGCGTAATAAGCGCGCATTCGCGTGTAATGCAATAGCGAACTTTTCGATACGCACGCCAGGCAGGCAACCCGCGGAATTACGACGTGTGTCCTTGCACCGCTGCAACGTCAAAATAACGTCATGAAACAGGATCGAGTGCGTTTCCAGCGAAGCCAATCGTTCTTGCGGAAATTCATTGTGAATTTTATAACTCCCGCTGAATTTGCGTCGCGTGCAGCAGCTTTTCGATACTAGCGTATATGATCAGTTATGTGGAGTAAAAAATGTTCAGCAAACTATTAAACTATTAAAAATTACGAATATTAACCGGGGTTTAATAATTTTATTTCTCATCTCTTTCCAATTCAGGAATTAACCGTGAGTTGTACAACTAGACCTAAGTGTCCCTGGTGGAAAAATTTCGCTGAAATTCTACGTTTTGGGACACTTTTCGGTAAAATTTCAGTTTAACGTCAAGGATTTTTAGCTGAAAATTTCATTTTTAGCAAAATGTCAGATTTCAGTAAAAATTTCAATGAAATTTCGACAAATAATTTTCAGCAATTTCGTTGAAACGGTCCAAAACGTGAAATAATTTCAGCGAAATTTTTTCACCAGGGATATTAGAAAAATTAGAGCTAAGATACAATTTTTATTAATATATTTGTTGTTAGCGTACAAAATTAATAAGATTATTGGTTATTTTGGTGCAGGATACAATTTCAGTATTGACCAGTGTAATTACGGACTTTGTCTTTTTTTCTATTAAACATGTCCTTTTTTATGATAGTCTATATAGATAAAACGGTTAGAATTGGAAATTTATACTTTTCGTATAAAAATGAAGGTTATGCGCATAAATATGAATGTTATACATATACAGTTTGATAAGGTCAATATTTAAATTTGACAATACAATTTTATAATTTGAATGAAAATCTTTTCATGTTGCCTTAATTTATAATTTTTAAAAACATGTCTACTTCAAATTAAAATAATTTTTTATCCAAATTCTGACTGCGTTCGGGGAGACGCTATTAGCGCTATTTGTGTCATTTTCTATCTTCATCGTCCATTAAACGCGAAATAAGGATAGCATGACACAAATAGCGCTGATAGCGCGCTCCCCGAACCCAACCTTAAAGTTTCTAACGAGAGTTTCTGTATTACTTTCTAACACAATATAGAAAAATCTGTAACTTTTTCATAATTTCTTCATTTTGTTAAAAAATACATGTAGTACATCCTTAAATTGGCTTGCTACTGGAACGAAGATGCTTCAATGCGCGTCCGATGACTTATGATGTATGATCGTCACTACGCACGTTTAATCGATGACGTAATAGGGCGTGCGCGAGAAGAAAATACTTGGCGCGGGCGTCCGTGACACATTAGCAGTACAGAGCAAATATTTAGAGTGTTTCGACAGACAAAAGCGCGGCCGGAAATCTGACGGTGCCATACGGCGTACGCTATCATGCGTAAAAGAACCCGACCTCGTTGCGTTTTTTCGCCAAATAAAACATCTTAGAGAAGTGTGACATTCTTTTTTTAAATTTATTTTGTAATTAGAAAGTACTAATAGTTATTAAATTAGCGTACTAATATAGTAAGGAAAAGAGTTCTCCTGAAAAAGGAGATAGGACCTGACACGCGACAGTCGCAATGCGACAAATTTTTGAAAGTTGTTAATGACAGTGTTCGACTGAAGGTGAGCGAAAGCTAAGCGTGGTTGACGGTGCCTAGTATCGAATGGTATCGAAAATGGTCGCGTCGGCGTCGAGTCGCGTCGATTCCATCGGCACCGCAGTCACCGGACAGAACTACACGCCCAAGGCGCGTGCGACCTGCTCGTAAGCGTATACGTGGGACTCGTAAAGCGTACTCCGCCTGCGCGGAGGACTCGTAAAGTGTCGCGTGTACGTTCTCTCTGCGCGTTTCAGGTTTCAGGCATTCAGTTCGAGTTGCACTGCTGTACGGCGTGGTCGCGACGCACCGCAACGCACCGCGACGCACCGCGACGCACCGCGACGCCCCGCGACGCCCCGCGACGCACCGCAACGCACCGCAGCGCACGCGTCGCGACGCGCAACAACGTACGCGCGTTAAACTCGCCTCCGCGGCAATCGGCCGCGTTTGAGAAGAGTGCGTCTCTGGACTGTTAACTGCGAACTGAGAGTAAAAGAAGAAGAGAAGAGACGAGAACGCAACTCTCTCGCGCAACCATCCTTGACTTCACTTTACGAACACTTTTCGTTAGATTCTTCGAGTGCGGACACTCGGAGTCGTCGCGTCGGAGTCGCGGCAGTCTGTTCGAAGTGAAATCGAGTTTCGCTGGCGAAGCGATAGGAGTCCACGGTACACGTGGACGGAGCGCGTGTCAGGTGAATCAATGGACGGAGTTTTGTTATTCAGCGTATACCTTGAGGCCTATTTAGATACAACGAGTGTTTCAGCCGCGACGGAGTTCACAACTCGCGTGATGCAACTCCGTATTCATTCCCGTACAAAACAGCCGAGTAGAATCGATTTTTCCCAAGTTACAGAACACGTCGAAAGGCATAATGTGCCGTATTAATAAAGATACTGCTTTTTTTAGCTTTTATAACAAAAAATCATGGTTAATTTAAAAGAGATTCTTCCTTAATCTATAAATGGATTTAAGTGAATCATGATTAAAGAAGAGTTCGATTCCCCATCTTCCTTTTATTTACATTCGTGAAGCTTAAAGTTATTAACTAGAAATATATGAATTAACTGTAAATAACTATAATTAACCCTTATTCTCCATTATGAGATCACTGCAAAAATGGTGTCCGAGCAAAATTTCGCGCGTCGCATATGCCGGTAAAGTTCCAAAACTATATAGTTTTACTAGTTATTATTGTCATTGCACTTTTTAATCGTATATTAGAAGATTGAAACAAAGTAAAATTGCGATTGAAAACCATCTCATTACGCTGTAATCCTTTAATAGAAGAGAAACAAAAACGCAAATGCGCCTCATCCCACGATGAGGTCAAAAAATGACGCGGGACAGTAAAGATTAACTATGCTATACCGTAAATATACATATGTATATGGAATGTTATTAGTTATCTACTTATCTTTATTATACTTAATTGTTACAAACTACATGCTAATGTTTGTTTTTGTTACGAGTATCTCATCACTAAGGAAATTATTAAGGAAATACTTTATATTCAATTACTAATACTTTAATTAATTTACTTCAATATCGACATCATTTAGTATAAAAAAAAACACAGTTTCAATTTAAAAATAGGAAAATTAACCTGGAATGGACGAAGAACACAGTGAAATATCTTATCGTTCGAATAATCCGTTCTATAGTCTTTTATTTGCGTCGTACACACACTTCGGCTTCAACCCTACGATTTACGTGCAATCCCTTATTAGGGGCGATGTCTATCGCGTTTCTCGTTTTAGGGTCGCTAAAACCGAGCAAGGGTGACACGCACAGGAAAGAAAGAATCGATTGTTATTAAATCGAATTGAAAATCCTTCAAACTGGGCGACGGAAAAGGAAAACATCGACGGGTGAGAATGGCGGACGAAGCCCAGCAAAGCCAACAGCCGACTACTAAAAGGCACAAAGTTCTAAGTCATCTACCCATCGTCATCAAAGTGCTCGAATTGGCGAGTATCTTTTTAATTTAATCAAATAAAGAATAGCATGGATTACAGCGCGCTTCGTATCCCGTTGTTGAAATTTTCTTATCGCGAAAATCGCTATCTTTAATAAGCTTTCCTTTAAAAGATTCTCATATTTCATAATATTATTAAGAATTTGTTATAGTTTAAATTTATAAAAATTTCTGAAAAAATATCTTAAAATTTTTTTTTTTTCAGATTTCATAAATTTTCTTCGGAAATAATAGTAATAATGTTAAAGTATTATATTAGACCGCGATGTGAACACACAACAGAGTTAAGAAATAAATTAGGCTAAACACGGTCAAACTTGATCTATAGTGTTGAAACAATTCCGTGTAAATTTATATACCACAAATCCAATCTGCAGCACGTCAAATTTATTTTCAATTTTGAAACGCAATCTTAACAGAACTAAAGTAGTCACAAATTAAATTGACAATCAATTTAATAATGATGCTTACAGGCATTTTTATAATAATCTTTAAGCACCTTAAAATCTGTAGTTTTATTGCGAAAAATATTACCTCGGCCGTGGATTAAACTCTCTTGCGTTTCAAGGTCGAAAATGAGTTCGGTGCGCAATTTGCAGGATTGGATTTAGAGATATATAAATTTATACGGAATTATTTCAGCACTAAAGCTTCATCGTTTAGCCTTTATTTCTCAACTGTTCTTAACTGTCGTGTGTTCACATCGCAGTCCAATATGATACTTTAATATTGCTTATACACCTGGTATTTAAAATGCGTACTCTTTATACGTACCGATTATTGTGAAGAATATTACTAAGGCCTCGGTGATCTAACATGGCGAGGACGCTCGCACGGAATACGTGAGATCCAGGTTCAATCCTCGGCCGAGATAATATTTTTCACAATAAAATTATTTCGATATTAAGGTGTTTAATGATTATTGTAAAGATGCATGTGAACATCATTGTTAAAATTCTTGTCAATTTAATTTGTCATATTACTACTCTAGTTCTGTTAGGATTGCGTTTCAAGACCGAAAATAAATTCAGCGCGCAGGATTGGATTTTGATATATAAATTCACACACAGAATTCTTTCAACACTAAAGACCCAGCTTAACCGTTTAGAATAAAATTGTATTGTACTATTATAGTATAATTGCAGTAATAATTAATATTATATTAATTATTAAGGCAACCAAAATTATGCTGTAAAAATCTCTTTTTAAGCGCCTAAAATATGCTCTGTGAAATTGAAAAAATGCTCCAAAAAAAGGCATATATCCCAAAATTATGCTGTAAAAATCTCTTTTTAAGCACCTAAAATATGCTGTGAAATTGAAAAAATGCTCTAAAGGAAGGAATATATCCCAAAATTATGCTGTAAAAATCCCTTTTTAAACACCTAAAATATGCTCTGTGAAATTGAAAAAATAATCTAAAGAAAGGAATATATGCATTTAAAAATTATTTTTTATCGCACAAATTTTCAAATTATTAATTAAGCTTTTTACTTATAATAACAAAGATGATTAGTGACTCTAGAGAGAGAGAGAGAGAGAGTCTTTGATGTTATGTATTGTATGACACAGAAATATAGAAGATTGAACGTAAAAGCGCGAAATCTTTTTCTCCTTGTGATTTCTTTGACATCACTGCGCACCAATGCATCGCGGCGTGTGGGAATCATTTATCTAATCAATTCCTTTTTCAAAAATATAAAATATGTTGTAGGATATTTCTGATTGAGAAAAACTTATCTTAGAAATCCTATTTATTAGTTATTATTATATCAGAGAAAAACTAATCATAAACTTAAATTAGAAAATGTGATGTGAAATATACAATAAAAATAAATAAAATATGTAAATATTGTGCATGTATGGGCAAAATATGCAAAAATATGCTTTTATGTGTGAAATATGCAAAATATACTGTAACATATAGGGCTCAAAATGCATAATTTCTTATGAAACAAATTTGTATTTAGTTTATTTCTTTATTAGTCAAACAAAAAAAACGTGCTCTATGCATATTTTGGTTGTATTAATTATATTATAAAAATATTATAGAAATTATAGTAAAATTATGAGAATTTCATAATAATAAAAAATCTCTTAGAATATCTAAAAATCGTAGAATATTTCAGAATTCCTATATAAGAAGAATATTCAAGAAAAGATGTAAAACTTTCTTCTAAGCACTTTTGAAAAGTGTTCCAATTCGTATACCAAATTTGAGAAATCTTCTAAAAAATTATAAAATTATATAGAAATTCTATATAAGTTATAAAACTCTAAAATTTACATACAAACTTTGAAAAATTATATGAATGATTGGTTTGTATCAATCTTGATTCTTGATCTGCAAACACTATTCAACAAAATTAAAAGATCGCCTATTTCACCTTACAAAAATAGGCAAATTTCAAGATAGAATAACTTTGTAAAAAAATCATCGTATCGAGATGTTTAAAAAAAGCATTTTAAAGCTTGAAATCTCTACTTTCAGATTGGTATTTTGAGAAAGTCTTACTGATATTTTGTAACATCTCGATACGATGATTTTTTACGAAGTTATTCAATCTTGAAATTTGCCAATTTTTGCAAGGAGGAACATGTAATCCTTTAATTTTGTTGAGAAGTGTATAATGACGTATTTTCCAACATTTCTTTATTTCCTATACATTATTTGATCTACATTTTATTTTCACAAGTGTGAAAATATATTATAGGTTCAGTATATGCGTGCGTGCGTGCGTGCGTGCGTGCGTGCGTGCGTGCGTGCGTGTGTTGATAGCATTAAATACATTTTAATTTCTTAGAATATTTATTTATACACACACACACACACACACACACACACACACACACACACACACACACACACACACACACACACACTATAGAAGTCTTCGAATATTACAGAATTCACGTACATGAAAAAAATTTAGAAAAGATATAAGACTTTCTCAGCGCTTCTCAAATTTAAATATGTTTTAATATTTCGATGCAGATACTGGCCATTTTTGCAATCGGTCTGTCAGTGGATCCGATGAACTCGTTCCAACGCATTTTCAACAGATCGCGATTCAAGCTGGACGATGCAGCCACTATCTACGTCTCGGTCGCCGGATATATTCTCATCAATGCACTCTTCATCATTAGCCATATGCTGGGTGATCGCGTGCCAAAAAGAACGGTAATGTCTATCTTCTATCAAATATGTTAGAATTTAAATAAAATATTTATTTTGCATGCTTGTGGCGAATTTACCATCCGTAGCTTCTTCGCAAAGAAGAAACAAGTATTTATATTCTACGCATCTTCGTGCAGGGTATAAGAGTAAAAGACTATAAGATGGTTCCAAGGATGATCTTTACAATTCTAAATATTTCAACATTTCTTTTATAAAGAAAACGAAGATCGATTTCGAGTTAATAAACGGAATTTCCGTGATGAATTTTCGAAATGTTTAAATGATGTAACGTTCTCTTTATACATGTTAAATATATTCTTTTTTCTCTTATAAAAGAATAATTTTTACCGAAATAAATATCAACAGAGGAATATGTGGCGCGTACATTGATCATATTTTCGATAAATATTGTTTTTCAATTTTCTCTAATAATAAGTGTGTTACGGGGACTAACAACCCATACTGTAAACATGTGTACTTGTTATATTATTACTGCAAACATGACCTTGTTATATTATGTCCATAACAAAGAACGCCATAAGCCGCGACTAGATACGCCTAGTTCATTTATACAGCTGAGTCATTACAGCAGTAACGGCGTATGTGTTAATTAGCGGACAAGGTATCAAGGCTTCATTGCGCGAGACATTGCGATGTCATTTTACACGCCATTTAAGAATATGTCGCCAAATGGAAAAATCGCGCGATATCAGATCAGATACATCAGAGCGCGTTTTGAGACTATGATTTACCCGCTCGTGAATGATTAAAAACTTTTCAACTGTACAAGTCTCACTACACGAATTAACACCTCATATTACGAGACGCATAATTATTGTAATCAATGACACCTGTGGCGGTAACAAACAATAAAAAAATATCTCAGCTTCATAACGACAGACACGAAGATAACCAATAATAAGCTTTTCTGTACATAATTCTATTTCGAACGAATGATCAAATTGCGAAATCGATAAATTTATAAAATTCGATAAATTTTCGACACATTAACGTAAGTCAAAAGTAAAAAAACATAGAATAGTTTCTTGTTTTTGCACTATTATATAATACTTTTAAGATCAATTATACAATCATATTGATATACATATATCTAATTGCACTTTAGTTACGTTATAATTGTGTTTTAATTCTTATCTTTTATATTTCGATCATTTCACTGTGTAGTCTTTAAAATTTACAAATAACATATCGCTGTGTGATATTAGCGGTAATTATTATATCCTATATATGTATATGTTTATTTAGTCAAGGACATTTTGTTTCGTTATATTATACATATATATAATTTGTTTATTATTAAAGACACGTCTAATATATGTAGTTATATTTTTTTCATCATACAATCATTTGTGATTTGTTTGCATTATAACTGATATATCATATCTATACAGGGTATTTGATAACATGTGGGCCCCTAATACGGGATTGATGACGGTAATATCTTTTTCTAAATTTGAGTGACGGAGAGAAAGTTTTGATTTTGTTAAAAAGTTATTAAAATAAAGTTGTTTCCTAAATACCCAAGAATTATCAGGATTTGTGACTAATCGCGAAATTGAGTTCCAAGTGCCAGGCAGGCGCATCTGCGTGTCCGTCCTCCGGTTTGTTTCCGCTGGCAATTAAAAATTAAACATAGACTCGCGGGAGTTTCTCATCACGCTAATATTAGAGGCCGTGCAATTTGATTCATGATTAATTGACTGTTACAGTTGCTGATGTTCGCAACCGTAGGCGCGTTTATGCACGTGGTAGCCGGAAGCTTGATGGTCCATAATTGGCGCCGGATGAATGGTCCTTACTATTATATGTACAACAACGAGACTCATCCTAGCAAGCAGTACATGGATATGCTTATATCAGCAGCCGTGTTTACATTCGTGAACGCAGTGGCATTTGTCGCGGAAATTGTCGCCATTATAAGATATGCGTGAATATGTGCGTCTTTGCAAGAAAGTCCATTGATTCAAGCGAGTTGAAAGACTCACGAGTATCACCAAAGCTATGGATAGTCTATTTAAAAAGAAAAAGAAGGAATATATATGAAAGATTTTAATTTTTTAACATTTATTACACATAAGCAATTTCATAAAACTTTCTGAAATTTATATGACTATTAACTTGATATTTCAATGGCAGCATTCAGCAAAGAAAGCAGCTTTGATTGGTGATGATAATAATATGTGAGGAACTTATATATAGGGCAAAACCAATCGAGAGGGATTCGATAGCGCACATCGCTAATTGGTCAATTTAAAATAAAATATTCTCATTGGTAAAGCAGTAAAAATCGGAACTCACCCGACCAATCATATTAAAGAATATTACAACAGTTGCAAAGCTACTACCTCTACTCTAAAGCAGCTTTTATGAAACATTATTTTATAAAACGAAAAAGATTTAAGAAATTAAAAATTAAAAAATTGTGTATTTATCGAATCGTCACAGTTTTAATATTATCTGTTGAGGAAAGATATGAGGTGCTATCTAAACTTTGAAATAGTACCCTTGGACATGAATATAGATTTCAACGTGGTTTTTTCCATTATTTCATAAAATTCAAGTGGGAATGTTTTAAGCTCCTGTAAATTTGCCAGGATCCCGTCAATCAAGTGTCAAAACGACGGCCTTTCAATCGAAAGTTCATCTTGGAGAACAGAAAAAAATCACAGGGAGCACGGTCTGGAGGCGAATAGAATAGATAGATGGGCAATCACTATCATGTTTCTGAAAGTCAAAAATTATCGAACAACGAACGATGTTTGAAGGGGCGTGTTGTCATGACGGAGAACTCAGTTGTTGTTCTCTTATTTGTTTAGGCGTGACCTGATGCTTCTCTGTAACCACTTTAAAACTTCACAATAAAACTTCCTATATTGTGGGTTTGACTAAGAAAGACAAATATCTTATGGATAAGGAGAGTCTCAAGCAAAATTGTCGGTGTTTAAAACACTTACACTTGAAGATTTTCAAGGATGGAAAAAACATCGGTATCGCTGCATCCATGTTCAACTATTTCGAAGGAAACGGGGAAAACTGGAAGTTAAAGTAAACGATTTTTCATAGGCAAATTTTCCAAACTTTTGAATAGCATCTCATATTTGGTAAAATGAATTATAAAATTTTTTTAAAACCGTTAATTTTGTAAAATTATCAAACACATATAAAGTCACATTAGAAATTAGAATTAGTAATAGTATTATGTAATGTCTGTTATCACTGTAGTAGCATGTAAGATCATGTATATGCGTGTAATTATCGATAGATAAGATTTAGTTATTAGTAAAATTCGTATAGTTATCGTAATTAATAACGAGACCAAACGCGAAATTGCAATCTTTCGCGATTTAAAATATATTCTTTGCTATTCGGATGAAAAAAAGTGTCCATCCGCGTACAAATCCGTCCACTTTTGTACCTAAAGCATTTATTTCTACATTCAAGAAAATATTGCAATAACAAATTTTAAGCTATTTTTTAAGTAGAATAGAATAGAAGAGATCTCTTTCTACATATTTTAAATTTTAACTTATCTATTTTTCTTTATTCATCTTTTTATAAATGAAGATTATATCTTTATAGACTTTATACTATCATATGTTAGGCTGACAAATTTAAAATTTGCAGCAAAATTAATAAAGCACATGCAAAATCTGTTCATTAAAGTTTTATGCTCTATATGTGTTTTCTTTTTTATCTAAATTCTAATCCTTGTATTTTGTTTAAAAATAAAATAAATATAAAGAGGTATGACAATTAAACCGTTCGTTGAACACTTATCCCATTTCATCGAAATATGAAGTTTAGTTTTAGATGCTTTGTGTTACAAGCAGGCGCTATAAAAGAGATTGTTAAAATCGAAATATAAAATATTGAATATTATTGGTTTATTGATATAAAATATTGATTTGTAGCAATTTTAATGAAAAATATGTAAAAATGTTTCGAAATCAATATAATATATGAAAATCAAAATAATATATGAAAATTCTTGGATAAAAGAAAGGATATAAAAAATGTAATAAACTATAAGCAGAAAGTGTAAAATGTTATTCTTCCTCTATGCTTTTCTTTTTAAAGCAAATTCATATATATATAAATGGAAGACGAACGTACACGAAGTTAGTTATTCTTTAGGGAAACAAAAATGTGCAAATGTCCTGATAAACGTCAAAAAGTATCAAATAGAATTTTTTCGCATATTCGTGCATAGAATTAACTTATGTTGCAATATGTTATGTCGTAACATAATGTTATACGTTATAATATCGCTTAAATATTTGTAAATGACAAGACGCAAAACGGGAAAAAAGAAAACGGTGGAGATAAAAGATGTCAAATAGGAATGTGCATTTGGATCAGCAGAAGCTATTGCGGCACAAAACCAGCAGATGCGTATCGACAATAATCAAGCCGCTGAGGATATTTCAACTCGTGCGTATTGAACACCACGTTATTTCATTCGATTGCAAACCTTAATATCGAAGAATATCGGAATTAGAATGGACTGATTATATCTTGTACTATAAAATTTTCTCTCAAGACAGTTTGCGGTGCTGCTACTGTTCGCGGTCACGATTTATATGATCGTTATGGATCCTATGCCGATAAGCGCTCTTACCTGCATCCTCTTGATTGTCCTATCGGGCGTATATATTTTCGTCTTAGCCATCGAGTTAATCAGCCACTTTGCCGGGAGCGCCTTGCACATTATTCCGGTAATTTATGCCGTGCCATTGTGCATTACTGTTTAGTGAAATCAGAATTATGTAAAAAAACAACTCGAAACTTCCCTTCAAAATTTTAAACGTCTTTCAAGAATACAGACCATTTACTAATGTATGAATTAAAAATTTGAAAAAAAAAGAACAATCGTAATACCTATTACGATTATATCTATTAATAAAATGTTAATAATAATTTAAAAAATTTTGTATATAAAATGTTTTGATTTCACTGAAAAAAAATATTTATCAAATATTATTAACTACAAATATATATATTTTTCTATATTAATTATTACAGATGACCATATTCTCCTTACTTGGCCTATTATTTTATGCCGTTGCCGGGATTTTCTTGATTTTTAAAGCCTATACACAAATAGTGACAGTAGCAATAACACTGTGTCTATTGGCAGCGTTATTCTTTTTGATCGATATCACGATGGTACTCGCGTGAGTTATTAAAGTTCAAATTTAAATCTTCGAAGCAGAGACAGACCCAATGGAATAAAATTATAATAAAAGTATACGTATTTAGATTTTGGAAAAGGAAATGCTCAATTTGCAAACAATGTTGTAGTAACGCAACGGAACTTATACTACACAAAGCCAACGAATCAAATGTACTAGAAACCCAAGTGAGTTATAGTCGCGGAGGAAAGCTTCACAAGTATTAAAAATTAGAATACTCAATTATTATATGTATATAGATCACAGACATTCACAATTTAAGTCTATTAAAATTAAATTAAATTAAATTAATAAATCAATTACGAGTAGGACATTAATTTGTAAACTAATGAAGATTTTTATTAATCTAATTAAATTGTTCCGTTTTCACGTTCAAACATTACGAAATTACTTAATTTTTCAAAAGCAATGACTTTCACGGATAAATTTATTTGAAATTTACAGTACTGTGAATTCAAAATCACTGTTTTACATTCTAATTTAAATTTCTCGAGTATAAACGTAGATAATGAGGCATGATGTAACGACCAGCCTGAGTGACATCAGGGTACCCCGTGAACTAGAAGGTGTTGCAACGCCTGATCATTGTTACCGCAAAGTCGGATATTCTCGACGACGAGAATACATTGACTGTCCTACCTGCGTACCATCATTATGCAATCTCGGCGTCGCTCAAATTCAAACGGAATCGAAAAAGGTGTCTGTCGTGGAAAGTCAAGTGAGTCGGCTTTGACAAGATTTCTTATTAGCCCTACATTACTTGTACAGGGTGGGTGTTTTTGACGTCGCAACATTATATCTCCATTTTCAGTCTTTTCTTTGATGATTTACAATTAGTAAAGATTAATATTCTATACATCCTTTAAATGCAAAAAAGTTCTTAATTATAAAACAATTTACGCTAAACATAAATAATATATATAAGTAGTATTCAAACACATACACATACACATTCAGTAAATTTAGGCGAGGATATTCTGGACTAATTATTTAAATCTCTTTTCTTTAAACCTTCTCGCGTGCCCATAAATTTGCTACATGTATGAATGTTAATATTCATACACATTTATTATATTTAAGACAAATTATTTCACAATTAAAAAAAATTTTGCATTTATCTTTATCTATAAAGGATGTAAAGAATGATTCAGTGTTTATTAATTATGAATCATCGAAGTAAAAAAAAAAAAAATATAGCTGTTGGAATATCAAAAATATCCTATTTTGTATTTTATAATTGCGTAACTTTGTATTTTTTATGACTTGTCGAAAAGATATCACTTTTGTCGTTTACTTTGCTGTTTCTTAAATTCCTACGCGTGTTTTCGAATAAGATCAGACTCCGAGCGCAATCACGAAGGAAACACCGATGCAGACGTTGAGTAAATGCGAATTCTGTCGTCAACACATACAACTTCCCATCACTGTAGGAGCTGGTGTGCCCAGTACGCATTGTTTTCAACATCCACAATGGAGTTATCCCGCTATCGTGCAGTTTCTTCGCGGAGAGGTCAGCGCGCCGTGTTGCTCTAGGTAATTTGATAGGTTTTATATCTAGGAAATTTTAGAAAATGACACGTTTTTTTCTCTCTCGCAGATGCAAATGCAAACCGGATACGGCACAGACGCAACAACAATCGCGGCAATTAAAACGTACGGGATCACTGATGTCAAAAGTAAAATCTAATCCTAATAAAATGACGAGTGAGACAACACAGCAGGTTACGAGTAAATCTAACATTCTATAAAATTGTATCGAATTCTTCTATTGTTCGGAGTTACAGATTAACCAAAATTGTTACTTTGTCAAAAGGCGCAATGGGCCGATTTTTTTAGTATTTTAGAGAAGAGGGGGGGTACATAGTGATGGATTGAGCTGAAGTGAGCTCGTTTTTTTCAGTTTACTTCATGTTTTGGACCATAATAATTATAGAAACATAATCTTTATAAGCTTCTATTATGTATTGGAAGTAAACACAACATTTGTCACTATATGCTCCAGCTTGGGGCATATAGTGACAACCAAGAGGGCACTGGAGCAGATAGTGATACCTTCAAAATACTCCATGTTTAAACTTCCCTTTTCCTTTCTTTGTTACCTTCTTACTTCATTTCAGAAAGTAACATATAATCCACAAAATTTTTATGAAAATATTTAAAATGAATTAAAATATAAATTTTTTAAATTAAATTTGGATTCAGTGAAACTGTTTTCTTTCATATAGTAGAAATTGTTATATGTAATATTTGGTGTGAATTTTTTTATTAGTATAGCAACAAAGCAATTTAAAAAAGAAGAAAAGAAATTTTCTGACTGTGAATTTCGCGCGATAATACGCATGATGACATCGATTATTATTATTTGTGAATAATTCTCATCTATAGATATTGAAGGGTTTTGTAACAATGTTACAAAAATGACGACGACGCAACCAACCCCCACATACATTGCTTCATTTTATGGGCCGGACAAGGGAATGCAGACCGCATCGGATATTGAGTATGTATATGTACACGGAGAGAATTTTCTTTTAAAATTTACCCTGAAAATATAGTAGTTGTGGTACAATACAATATTTTAAAGATTTTTACCATGCACTTCAGTAAAATTGGTTAACTTATTTTATACTTTATTGTAGTCTTATTAATGAATGAGAGAGATTTACATTAAAATTCTTCAAAATACAATGTTGTTCCACGACTATCATATTTTCAAGGTAAATTCTAAGAAAAAATTCTCTCCGTTTATGTGTGTTTGTATGCGCGTGTCATAAAATAAAATAATCTTTAAAAACGATTATTCTGTCCGAAAATTCTGTTACATCTTCTATAAGATAACATGTAAAGGAAGTTGAATTATTTCTCGACGATATTTAATTTTAAAAAAATTAAATAACAATAACACATTTTAAAATAATTAAAATAACAGTATTGATTTTAAAATTGATAAATATACCGAACAGAGGGAATCCGCTCCGACGACCTTGGCGCATATTTTCAAGGTCACGAGCCTGACTAACCTTTAACAAGTTTTACCCGTCAGTCTTTATCCGTTAAAAAGTTATTCATAAAAAAAATTCAAGAAATACTGTCTTATTTCTACTATATGCAGTGTTAAAAACTATCCCAAATCCTTCTCTCCTTGCATGACTTTCCGTCCTAGTTACAAACGAAAAGTGGCTGCAATAGAGATTAAAAAAGACATAAGAGAGGACATCGATCAAAAAATTACGGAAAAAACCAAAATAAAGCTTACGAAAACTAAAGGGTCCGATACAATCGAAAAGACGATCGTAGAGCATGAAAACGCAAAGCAAAGAAAGGACAGCATAGAAGGAAGAGAAGAGAAGACAATTGAAGAAAATAAGATCGAAAGGAGTAAGGGAGGAGGAGAACAATGCGCTAGAATTTATCAAGAGTTTGGGGGTGCAATGGATCAAGAAAGCATAACAAACTTGAAGGAATCGTCGATGCACACGTAGGCGTCATCATTTTATATAAAGCGATATGTTAATTGATTCGATGATGCGTTTCGTACAGTTTCATGTATAGCTAAATCGACCGTTGCCGCGTCGTTGCACGATCCGATGAAACAATTGATTCAATATACGGGAAATAATCGTTTTAGGAGCAGAATGTTAAGCACGCCGCTAAGTAGTAGAATGAAATCTCGAACATTGTTACACTTAAAATCAAATAAAGTGGATCCAATTAAGGACGCGTAAGCAACCAAAAATTCTCACAAATGCGACAAACCGAGACTACACGGAAAGAATGGTTTTGTTAAAGTATCTAAAAAATTTGATTAGAGTTAAAAATAATTCTATTAAACCAATAAAAATAATGATATAGAACGCTTAACACTAATGGATGGAGTGAATAATTATGAAAATATATATATATATATATATATATATACAGGGTGTTTCCAAATTAA